GGGCAAATTGTTTTATTTTCATATTCATCTTTTTCATTTTGTTTGGTGGAGGCTCCACCGGGAGCTCAAGGTGGATGCTTCAGGTTTGTGGGGTGTGGAAGGGATGGGGGAGGACATTTTTTTTTTCCACCAGTTTACAGAACAGGTAAAGAAAATGGAGGAAAAACGGAAAGAAGGACTCGGGTATTTACTCTTACAGCTGATTGGGTGTTTAGAGGAACTGGTTGGTGGAGTTGCCCTGAAACATCTGAGTGTCTTCCGCACTGGCTGCTGCAGCGCCCTAACAAACAGGATTAAACAAACTCATTCGTCTTTTTTTCCTTTACTTTTGTAAAAAAAAAAAAAAAGGAAGAAAAAAAAAACAACAAAAAAGTGGACCAAAATTTAAAAAGTGTGGTTTAAATTTCAGGACGACCGGAAGAACGATTAAACCAGTTTTTTTCTCTGACTGCTCCCTGTGGAGCTTCAATTATTTCATCTTCCATCTTCATGATTTATTTTCAAATATCTAAAAATCCAAACTAGATTTCTGCTGCAGCTTCTTCTTAAGGTGTTCAGATGAGTTTTCCTGCTTACACAAAAAATAAGGAAACTAAGCACTACTAATGCTGCCCTGTAATGATCTCATTTATTTATTAAAAACGCATCAGGTGTGTGTAAAAACCTGCTTGTTCCAGTTTCAGAGGCGTGGATGGAGCTCCCTCTCCAGTTGTTTTGCTCTGAGGTTTAAAACTGCAGTGAACTGTTTTTTTACTAAGTGTCTTCTCCGTTTCTGCTGGAGAAAAGCAGAGTTTTATTTTTTTAATTACAGAGAGCAACAGGCATCACTTCAAGCTACCAGATAGTGTTACAGCCACCAGTTTTAGTTATTTTACCCATCTGCCAGGTAACCCGATGCCTTTTTGTGCATTTCAGCTTTTCCTGGGCTTCCTTGCATAAGGTTTGCTGCTGTGAGTCTCCATGCTTAAGTTCTTATTGTAAGAGAAGTTTGTGGAGGTTGGAAGAGATCTGAACGTGTTCTAACTTGGCTCAGTTTGGGGTTTTTTTTCTCATTAACAGAAAAACTGTTTTGTTTACAGCTTTTTATTGACCACCAATGACATCCAGTGTTGTCTGATTTTATTCTACTCCATCTCTTTGGTTTTGATGTTTTCTGCCTGACGCTTGCCTTGTTTAACCCGTACTGTTCTCGACAAAAATAGAGCTGGTTAATAATCCCGACTCATCTGGATGACGTGTAAAGATGTTGCCTTCATGATTAGTAGGATTTTTTAAATTGTAGTGGAAAATGCAAACATTCTACCAGATTTAAATCACACAGACAGTTTTTATTAAGTTGCAGAAATAGAGCATTTTAAACTTTTATTTAATCCGGTAAAGACTTTTACAGAAGTTGCAATGATAGTTTTGGTTCTGACTAGACCAGATGATTCATAAAACAGATGTGAAGTCTGTCGTTTTCTGCAACGATCAAAATCCAGATTTATTGTTAACGTGGGAAGGTTTATTTTTTTAGTTCGTGAAGTGGAAATTTGTTGAGTTGTGAATAGGAACTTTACATTTTAAAAATAGCTTCTTTATTATTATTTTGGTTTTGTAGGCGTTAACTCCCTCTGTCGCCATGAGCTGCAGTCGCTTCAAAGAAAATAAAAAGGACTTTTTGTGCATCTGAGATTGAAAGTTTTAGTTTTTACTCCCATTCCTTTTCTTTGAGATGACTGGAAACTAACTGCACACAAACCTGAGTGATCGCCAGCATCAGTGCACATCTTATATGAAGTCTTTGCTTTCCAAACTGGTCTCATACTTCTGGACATGTTATTTGGGTTGTGTTGTACGAGGGGAGACGACAGAATTATGAAGGTCCTGGTTTTTGATTGGATGATTAAATGTTTACATCTTTAGCACAACGTGCCAAAGTTACTTCCTGTGTTCTGTATGAGGAGTAATAAAAGGGTGGGGTGGAAGCTAAGAATAGCTGGATGATTTGTTCAGGATGTTTTTGTATTTTCTTGCTTTTCGATCCGTCGTCGGTGTTCCGCTTTCATGCTGGGCGTTGTTACACTTATGGAAGAAAACCGATTGTCACTTATAGGAGGAATGTTAGAAAAATTTATTTCATCACTAAAAGTAACCTTGAACACAGTCATTGTTGATTCTACATGTTTGTGTCTTATTTAGGATAAATCTGCAATTTATTTGATACAATTCAACTAAAATCAGAGTGAACTTTGTGTTCTTTCAGCTTTTCCTTTAAACAGGGATCAAGTGGTGATTTGTTGTAAAACTGGGACCACTTTAACTCAGACACTCCCTGAGAAGAAGAACCCCCTAAGCCCTGATCAGACATCCAGCTCAGGACTGCGTAAGCTTCTCCATCTTTTGTTTTGTTCAACGATGAACGTCGCGTGCGAGTCAGAAATCACAAAAAAAAAAAAATGACGGATCAACGATTTAAATATTCATTTGTAGGAAGAGGCACGAACAAATGCCAGAATCTGTGAAGAATGTGGCTTTGAACTTTTGAAGTGGGGTTTAAGACTCTTGGGGAAGGGGTCATGTGTGTAAAAGTGTATATTTTTGTATATACTACATTAGTGTGTGTACAGTATGTACATATATACACAGTGTACTCCGCTGCAGTTCCTAGTTTTGTTGTCAGACTGTACAGCGCTTCTAACTGTTCCCTGTTTTATAGAATCTGCAGAAATTCCACTTTGAATGAGGAGAAATGATTAACTTAAATAAAAGCATTTATATATAAACTAAATGGTGTTGAATTTTTTTTATTCTGGTGGTGATGTGAAGAGTCCATGCTGTAAGTTGGTAAACATGAATGTATCTGTAGGAAAGGATGGTAAAGACCTGTATTTGTAAAGCACCTTCTAAGGGTACAACCACCCAAGGCACTTTGCAACACATCATTTAACCATTCAAACCTTCACACATTCACACGCTGGTGATAATGAGCTACGATGTAGCCACAGCTGCCCTGGGGCTCACTGATGGAGACGAGACTGCTGAACACTGACTCCACCGTTCCCTCCGACCGCCATCAGGGAAGGCACTTCAGGTTAAATGTCTTGCCCAAGGACACATCAACAGAATTCTCTGGCAGGCCCCAGGATCAAACCTACAACCTTCCAATTACTGGACAACCCACTCTTCCTTCTGGGCTATGTAGTTTTCCTGCAAATGGTGCGCAATTTGGCAAATGTGCATGTGTTTTGCACGTAATATGAGACTTCAACGACTTAGAAGGAACATTAATTGGAAGTCTTACAATGGCAGGGCTAAAATTAAAAATGACGTGTTGCTTTCTGAGAACCTTGTGCAAGATTTAGGAGCACCTACTTGGCATTGACTTCAAATAAATAAAAAACTGACATTTTTTAGATTAAGTCTTTATATACAAGTGCACATTTTTGCAAGTATCTAAATAATGAATATTACATAAATGCACATGTCATAAGATTTTATACAAAATTTGCAAACATTTTGGGCTTTTGGAGTAATTTACAATATAAATTGTGTCAAAAAAATGCGGAACTAATGTGCTCCATGCAGATTTTTATGTATTGAGATTTTAAACTGAGAGCCAGAAAGGGTTTGCCCAGCAACTTACTCTGATTTAATGAATGTTAATGGATACAAGTCACACTCATTACTTTAAATAGAGTAATTTACCCTGTTTTAGATGACTTGGAATTATTTATCTTTCCAGGAAGCGAATGTAAAAATTGCCAAGTAGATGCACAGAAATAGCTCTATTTTTCAGTTAATATAACTTTTACCTGTGGTTTATTCATAAATTATGCATAGATATTTGATTTGCAATGTATAATTTATTTTCATATGTATATTATTATTTATGCATGTTTTCTGATGGCTGGCTGAACTTTTAGTCACAGCAAAAACCTAAATCAATCAATCAATCAATAGATTTAAAATGATTCAAAAACCCACAACATATCAGTAGAATTTAAAAAATATCAAAACAGGAAGATAACTGAAAATTAAACTGTAAAATATTACAGTTTATAAAAAAAGATCAAATAGATTTATTAAAACTTGGGTTGAAAATCTGTTTGGGTGTAGCATTTTGATTCTTTTTTAGATCATTTGTTTTTATTGCTACACCTTTCCTGCGCCATGAACTAACCAGGGTGTAGTGTCCTCGCCTCGCCGGCAGGGGGCAACAGCAGTGACAGCGGACACACACCGGACCGGGAAGGAAGACGGAGTTCAGACACAAGCTGATTATTAGCGCACTCATCAGCAGACGCGCGTTGTGTCTGAACCTTAAACTGAAACAAACGATGTCGAACGAGGGAATAGAAGGAACAGAGCGCTTCCTGAGCCCTGGGAGAGGTCAAGGCCTGCGGGCGGTGAGGCACTTTGCGGTCGGGGAGTTGGTGTTCTCCTGTCCTGCCTACACCTACGTGTTGACAGTGAATGAGAGGGGAGCGCACTGTGAGCACTGCTTCACCAGGTAACCTGCTCACTTTCCCCAAACTTTAAAAAAAATCTCAGATACCGAACTCTGATACTCTAAAGGCGACGGAGCCAAGTATGTGGCTAGTTTAGCGTCCACAAGCTAAGTTTTGCTGGTAAACCTGCTGGACAGTGTCAGTTGGAACTCACCTGACTGCTGCTGCAGCTTTTCTCTGCAGAGTTTGATCCGTCTCAGGTGGGCTTAAAGCCGTCATATAAATTATCTGAGCTTTACCAAGCAGGTAAAGCGTGAACATGGCTTTAAAGAAAAAAAAAACATTGAGACTAATGCACTGAGAAATGAATCAGTAATTATACTAAAACCGTGCAGGGTGTGAAGTGGTTAGAAGGGCCCGTTTATGGATCATTGCCATGTGTAGACCATAGACATATAATAAGGTGTACATACACACTCATTGGAGCAGCAGAAGTCTAAATGTAGTCTTCTGCTTCTCTGTAATTCAAGACATCATATTACATTTTTCATTCATCTCAACAAATGTATTACCACCAACAGCCTTTCATACACCCACACGTGTCCTAACCAGGCTGCCATAGGAGCACTAAAAGGTTAGGACACTAAATTTAGATGTGTCCCATGAGAGGAGGCCAGAAGTGTGTGTGTGTGTGTGTGTGTGTGTGTGTGTGTGTGTGTGTGTGTGTACACACTTGTTTAACTATCCTACTTAGGACCAAAACTGGCATATTCACTGATTAGTGAAGACCAATGGGCCTTATAAGGACCGAAACACAGTCCTAATACGGTGGACCCCTTGTTTTAGGCTTAGGGGAGAGGTTTAACGGTAAGATGTGAATTGAGTTATTGTTCCAGTTAGATTTAGGAATACACTGGTTATGGTTAGAGTAAGGGTTTGGGTTAGGCATAAATGCAGTTACTAAAGTTAATGGAAGTCAATACAAAGTCATCTGTAATCTGGATAGAAAAATGAGTGTGTGTGTGTGTGTGTGTGTGTGTGTGTGTGTGTGTGTGTGTGTGTGTGTGTGTGTGTGTGTGTGTGTGTGTGTGTGCGTGTGCGTGCGCGCGCGCGCGCAATGTAAATAAAATATTATTTATAGACTTATTTTTTCATAATTGTTAGGGATGAAACACTGGAGACCTCACTAACATCCTTAAGCATCTGAATTTAACAACTGTCTTGGGTTGTGGAAGAATAATAAGTCATTAAAACTTTGATTTAAACTATAAAAGAATGTTAGCGATGCATCATCGGGTTGTCCCCTGTGACGTTTTAATGATGTAAGTCTCTTGTTTCAGGAAAGAAGACCTGTTCAAGTGTGGTAAATGTAAGCAGGCCCACTACTGCAATGTTGACTGTCAGGTAAGTCTTTCCAGGTGTGTGTGTGTGTGTGTGTGTGTGTGTGTGTGTGTGTGTGTGTGTGTGTGTGTGTGTGTGTGTGTGTGTGTGTGTGTGTGTGTGTGTGTGTGTGTGTGTTAAGTTTCTATATTTGAGGAACTGACAGCAAGTTTCACTTGTACTTAACACAATTAGGAAACTTTTCTAACGGGATTCCTGAGAATAGACATCTTTTACCTCATTAGCTGCTGTCTTATTTTTGCACAAACAATCATTTTCTTATTTTTATGCCGGTGCGATCTACCGGTGTTTCAGAATGGGCTGAATGGGGAAGTTCCCACCACTGTTGCTATGACGACTAGTCATGTCTAATTTTAGTGTTATGATGCAAAAAAAACTTTCTGCACTGCAGTTTTATTATTTTTGTTTTCAATGAATCAGCTGCTTCTAATGTTTTTATTCTTTAATTTTTAGGTATTTGTCCCGTTGAACATTTTTCTCAGTTAACAAAAAAATGTTTTCCTAAATTAAATCTTATTTTGATTTGTGTGTTTATTTGTGCAGAGAGGTGACTGGCCCATGCATAAACTGGAGTGTGTAGCCATGTGTTCCTATGGGGAGAACTGGTGCCCATCAGAAACTGTCCGACTGGTGGCCAGAATCATCACCAAGCAGGTAAAAGACCAACAGACTCTTGACGTTTATTCATTTGAATGAATTAAAAATATTTTACTCTAATAAAGTTGATGAAACATGTTAAATGATTATTTATAGATTATAATCTGAATTTCAATCTTGGATGCTTTCTTTAGAGAGTAACAACGGAGCGTACCCCTTCTGAAAGGCTGCTGCTGTTTAAGGAGTTTGAATCTCGTAAGTAGAACTGTGAGTGTGTGTGAATTAGATTTATTAATCTCTCAGGGGAGTTCCTGCTCATTTAGTTACATATTCGTTCACTTTTAGTTAGAGTGTGTGTGTGTGTGTGTACTTTTTTCTCTGGGATCACTCTGTGTCTCTGCAGTTTTAGGAGTGTTTCTATTAATATTCTGGACTGTAGCCTCCAGTCCTGATTCTGTCTCTTTCATCCAATTTGAGAATGTGGAGCGCTGGGACTTAAATCCCAAGCTTCTGGGTGCAGTAATTCTACATTCTCTCCCCGCTAACAACTGTTGCCCTTGAGCATTCAGACCACTGATTCAGACACAGTCTGGTGCTTATTTATTAAGCTAAAAATCATAAAAGATACATCTGTTTAGCTTGTATTTTTTCTTTTAGATGGACCTTTTATGGTTTTATCTACTGTCCTATGTTACGGATAAAACAACTAGTGAGTGATTTTAGTTCTGGAACCTTTTACACAATTTTTTATTTATCCTTTTATTGAGCTTTGTGAATGACCTTTGTCACTGTGCATTCAAACAATCTAGTACCTTGTTTATAAATCTATATTTATCTTATGCTCAGATTTCACTAATGTATGTTATTGATGGCAGTTGAAGTGCTGCAGAAATGTATTCATTACCCTCAGAAACTCATTCATCAATCAGTCTGTTGTTTTCTTCTCCACCTCAGCATTATTATTGCTAACCTCCAAAAGGTTGGGAGTCGTGCATTTGTATCTGTGTGTGCGTGTTGATTGGCAAAATGTTTCTGGGAGGATTTTATTGAACTCTCTGTGGAATTAATCACTAGATATGCATGTGTGGCTGTTTTAAAGCAAGGTTAAATACGTTTGCCATTTCTCCCTCCTACTGGTTGAAAGCAGAATTACAACTGTTGTTAAAACCCCTGCTGTAGCCTACTGTAGCTAGTGATAACAGCGTGCTAATGCTAACATGAGCTAATTGATACTAAAATAAACCACAAAGTAAAAAGAGTCACACTGCTGGACAAAACAATGTTGCTTACAAGTTCAGTAACAACAAAGCCAGGTCACCATCAGTCTATGTTTCTGTAGCCTCTTTTAGCGCCCTCTAACTAGTGTGGGCGTGGCGATGTTCACTCTGGTTTTAGCTGTTTGCTTTGCCTCCAAAGACATTATTCTCTTACTTTTATTTCCAGCTCTGCATGATTACTTCAATAAAAGCAAAATCCTTTTTCTTCTTTTTTAATAATTTTATTGACAGTCGGCAGGCTGAAAAAGCTAACTGTTAGCCTTCATATTAGCTGCCGGCAGACTACACAGCTATTGCTGTGAATCAGGCAGAGATCGCCCACTTGTGTTCCTACCCATCCCACATACACTTCTGAGGGCTACGGAACGCTGTTCAATGTGACATTTAAGTTTATGATTCAAGAACCACTGAAACCAGTTTGAAAGCAACAGATTAAAGTGTTAAAACTCTTTAGTGTTGCTTTACCTTTCAGAGAGCTAGCTGGATTTATAAAACACAAAAATGTCTGTAATCAGTTAGCTGTAAGGATGTGTTTGTAGTTGAGAGTATTCCACCACACAAGCTTTGAGCTCCTGCAGATTGCATGAGATTTGACTAAACGCCATAATTTTTCAGTATGAGAAAACTCCGGGATGCAAGGAAGCAGGTGAACTAAACAATGGGCCTTTTCTAATCTTGAGAGGACAGAAAACACAGTTCATAAGTCTTTTTCTTGTTTGAGAAACAAGGATTTGCTCAAATAAAATATAAAGTCACAAATATCCCAAACAAACTCCTTTGTAAACCTTTTGTTTTCACTAACAGTCTCGTGTTTGTGGTTAAGTTTTATTCAGATCTCACATTTCTGTCTGTTTTGCTCACTTCCTGTCTGTGATTGGTTCCCTTTGACAGATCTGGATAAGATGGACGATGAGAAGCAGGAGATGAACCAGGTTGACATATTGTCTCTGCATCATTTTTACTCCAAACACATCAACGACCTTCCTGGTGACCAGGCTCTCACCGAGCTCTTTGCACAGGTAGCTGTTAGTCTGGTTTCATTCCAAAGAAGTAGGTTTACGAGCTAATGATCTTCTCTAGCTTTCACCATGTCAGAGGATCGCTTCACCCAACACCCGCTGGGTCCTGTCTGCAGCTCTTGACTCTTTAATCAGATCTGTCTCAAGCTGCACTAATGGAAACAACCTCTTTGTTTCCAGGTAAATTGTAATGGCTTTACCATAGAGGACGAGGAGCTTTCCCATCTAGGATCCGCAGTTTTTCCAGAGTGAGTCGCTGAAAGTCGAACCATCCATTTTTATACCTGTTTTATGCTTTCATTCAGAAAGTTGTAGAAACGTTTTTCTTTTCTAAAAATCATAATTTTAAATATATAATCCTTTTCCCTCTTCCAGTGTAGCACTGATGAACCACAGCTGTAGTCCAAATGTTATCGTTACCTATAAAGGCACAGCGGCCGAGGTCCGAGCTGTTAAAGAGATAGATCCAGGTGAAGAGGTAAGAGAATAAGGTTTTGGGAACCAAATGCAGTTTAAAAATGTTGAATCGTTCTCGAGTTTTTACTCATTTGTGTCCTTGTAGATCTTTAACAGCTACATAGACCTGCTCTACCCCACCGAGGACAGGAGAGAGAGGCTGTTGGATTCCTACTTCTTCTTATGCGAGTGTACCGAGTGCAGCACCAAGTCTAAGGTTCTGTGTTTACGTACCAGATGGAGCGCTTCGGTACGACACCTTGCATAGGACGTTTTACTGAAAGTGTTTCTGCTACCTCTCCGTAGGACAATGCAAAAATGGAGACAAAGAAGCTGAGCTCTCCGCCAGAACCAAAAGAGATCCAATCTATGGTCAGCTATGCCAAGAATGTCATTGAAGAGTTCAGGAGAGCCAAACACTACAAAAATATCCTTGTCTGGTTAGAACACATCTTTGTCCCCCATCCTCCCCCTCTCTGTGTCATGATTCCTTTACTCCCCCTCACCTCCCAGTGAGCTGCTGGAAATGTGTGAGCTCAGTCTGGAGAAGATGGGAGCTATTTTTGCAGACACCAATGTCTACATGCTTCACATGATGTATCAAGCCATGGGCGTCTGCCTCTACATGCAGGACTGGGACAGCGCCATGAGCTATGGGGAGAAGATCATCCAGCCGTACAGGTATAACAGCAGCTATAACGCCACCTCTGGCCCCATGGTTGCTGCTAGTTTTTGACTCCTGCGTGTTTCCACCACAGCGTTCACTATCCTGCCTACTCCCTGAATGTAGCCTCCATTTATCTGAAACTAGGACGTCTGTATTTGGGACTGGAGAAGAAGACACAAGGTGTTAAAGCACTAAAGAAGGTAAGTAAACAGCACATTTATCAGAACATCTGGCTGTAAACGGCAACCAAAACGATCTTTGTTGATTGTTGCTTGTGTTGTTGGTTCTTCCAGGCCTTGTCCATCATGGAGGTAGCTCACGGAAAAGACCACCATTATGTAGCAGAGGTCAAACGGGAAATCACGGAGCAGAAGTAACAACTAACAGTTGCAGGAGGAAAACCATTTAACTGGAGTTCTGGATTGTGTATCACCAGTATCACCAGTGCATGGCATGCATCTTATACCTCCTTTTTTCTTATTTTCCTGCCTGACTAGACGTGTTTTTCTGAGGATGACCACATTTTATCATCTACAACTGAGGTCTTCTAGTCAGAGTTAACCTACAGGGTTCGCCTCACTTGAATTTTACTCCATTTGAGGTTCATACAAGTGTAAAAGGACTCATGATGCTGCCTTTGAATCTGCCTTTTAAATAAGAAAAGCTTTCACTTGATAGCTCTATTTTTTTAAAGTCAAATGTTTTTTTTTTCTGGTGAGCCTGATCTTGTTCACCATGTCTTGTGGATCCACTGAGAGACTTACTTCACCGTCATGTTTGTTATCGACAGCTTTTCATGCTGCAGTGTTGCTCCAGAGCCAACAATTTGAAAATCCAACACAAACTGGTCAGTACTTGTTTCTGAAGGCATTACCACTTTGTCCCAGCATGTGATTTACTTCCTGTCACATATTTGACAACAAAGTAGTATTTGGTCTTATTTATTCTCAGTGAAACTGTGAAATAAGGGACTTCCGACACTCTGTAGCTGCAGAATGAATGCAAAAAGACTTGTCTTACCGTCTGTTTTGCTTTATTATTATTTTTTTTAAGTGTTGCATGTTTGGCTGATTATTATGCATTTGTGTACATTTTTATACTTTATTTATATATGGATAATTGACCAGGTCTCTGTTCCAAATCTCAGCTGTGCAGGACTTTGCATGTTCTCTTTTTGCATGTTTTTCTCCTCAGCCTCCAAAGACACGCATGTTTGGTTTATTACAGAGTCTAAGCTGACGTTGGGAGTATTTTGGTGCTTGCATGGTTGATCTTCATCTGTACGTGCTGAACGGGGCGCTGATCTCAGACCAGTCTAGTGCTAAAATAACAATGAAACTACAACCGTTTCTAGATCCTTACGAAATCCTTTTTTTTCTGAGTTATTTTTTCCTCACAAATGTAATTTTCTTTTTTAAATTTTTAGTATTCCTTGTGTTATTATATAAGATGTTTATACTGGCAAAAAGGCAGTAACACAACACTGTAGCTTTTATCAGATGATGCTGCAAAATTGTTTATTTTATTGTAGTAGGCCATTTAAACATGGATGTTTATCATCCTTAGGATGAAGTCGTCATTACAACCATGAGTATGATATAATGTGCTTCATGAGGATTTTCATTGTACTAATAGGGATGGTGTTTGCTGTCAGCAAGAATAAATAAATTATAAGAAAAAAGGGACTTGCATGATAAATTTAAATCATGGGGTTAATATTTATTCCCCAACAGGTCATACTCTTAGGTCAGTTAAGTGGCCTGACTGGATGATGATACAGCTAGACTGATGTTTATCATTATTTATGGTGTTAAGTGATTTCTTCTCTCTCCAAAGTCAAGAACAAGTTATAAAAGTGGTTCATGTGTAGCTGTAAGTCTATCACTCAAAATCTACTGACTAACTGGTCTTAATATGTTGTTGCTGTTTTAAATTGTAGGTTAAATGTTAAAACATTAAATGTGCAATGGAAGCTTTAAAATAATGCAAATATCACCTGGGCCTTATTTAAGGGTTCTTGTTGCACTCATGTTGTACACCTGATGTGACAAAATGTCAAACAGTAACTCAAACTTTTTTTTTTTATTTCAACAGTCATTAAATGAGCTTATCTGCCAGGGAAACTTTAAATAACTGTAGCTTTTCTGTCTTGTTTAAATATTAGTTGGTTGTATTTGTAGCATAGTGACTGTTTTTTGACAGGAGCATCTAAAAGGTGCATGAATTATGGATTTATCAAGGTTACCTGAACACATTTTGTTTCTTTACAAGTCGGTACATTTTTTGAAAGAAAAAAAATTCTAAAAAGGTTATTCTATGTCTTATTTTGACCAAATGTTAGTACTTTTTTTTTCTTTTCAAAACTGCATCTTTTAAACAGCACTAAATAAAACCTTTGATGGTATGTAAAACATTGACATTACCTGTCCTGTTTGTAAACCAGACTCAGTTTGATGGTTTAACTGGTTGAAGGTTCAACTACTTGATATATTTTGTTTTAAATGTATGAAATAAAAAAGTATGAATGTTATTCTTTTGGAATGTTTGAACCTCTTTTCTGTACACATTCAATGAAACCCAATAAATGACATGAAACTCTTTTTTTTTTTACATTAACAGCTGCAGCTACAAAGCATATTTAGCATTCCAGTTGATTTTTGCAGCAATAACTATGGAGGATAGATTAAATGCACATCGAGAAACAAATAATTCAGTAGAAATACTGCAAATGGGGGGGGGGGGGGGGGGTGTAAAATATTCCTTGCTGTTTTTAGTTTTTGCAGCAAAATACTTTACATAAATATATTTTAAAACAACTTTTAGTAAAATATCAAATGATTTTCAGCGATTTTTGCTATTGAAAATTAGGGGAATTTGTGTCAATAATTTCTGGTAAATCAAACTCCCGAGCAACTTTACTCTGACAGTAGTGGCATCTACACATCCAACCACATGGTGGCACTGTCTTTTGGAAACTGAACAATGAGTGAGCCAATCAGATGCGTAGGTTGATTCAAGTCAGCCAATCAGATTATCTCCCTTTTTCTTTGTTGGAATTTGAAATTTCTAAGGAGAACTCACACAGTTGGATCCGATAAAGACGCCTCGCGCTCGAAGTAAGTGTAAATATGCCCAAATCTCATTTAAATAGTTTCATAACTCTGTTTTAAAACATTTACTGGTTTAACACAGTGTTTGATTTTCAGCCGCTGATATGTTTTAGGTTAAAATCAAGATAAAACTGTGAATATGTCTGTTTTCATGATGAAATGTCGTAATAGTCAAACCATAAAGCTTTACTTAAACAGAATTTATAGAATAACTGCCCCTAAATGTCCACTTAAAATTCATGATGTTTTTGGTAACATTTAAAATTTTGTGTTTGGTAGTTAGCCAGTTTAACACCGTTGTTTTGAGGTGGAGAGATTCACGGTGCTAGCATTGCTAGCTTATTTTTAGCTCCTTTTCCTCATCACGTTCAATTTAAACAAGAGTCTGCTGTTATTAGAACTGAAGAACATTAGATTAATAAAAACGTATATTTTGTAACGATTTCATCCATTTTAATTTGTAATTCATATTTATACGTAAACTATATTTAAAAAATATATTTGTTAAAAAATTACATTTAGTTTTTAAATGAAAGTTTATTTCAGGACATGGCTTTGGTTGTTTGTGTTTGATTTGTTTGTGTTTTGAATCAGGTTTGAGACCATGAGCTGGGCGGTGGAGGAGTGGAAGGATGGACTTCCAGGCAAAGCCCTGCAGAAGATCCAGGAGATGGAAGCCCAGTTGGACAAACTTAGGAAGGAGAGGACACATAAACAGTTTCAGCTGGAGTCCTTGGAAGCTGCCTTACAAAAACAGAAACAAAAGGTTTGTCCTTAATAAAAAATGAGGGTTTTCCTTTACAAACTAAACTTTTTCCATCTGCATATAATAAATATTTTTGTTTGTTCAGGTGGACAATGAACGTACAGAGATCTCTGCTTTGAAAAGAGAAAATCAGACTTTAGTGGAATCATGTGATGCTTTGGAGAAAGGTCGTCAAAAGATTGTTCGTGACCTCGGAATCAAAGAACAGCAGGTCAGCTTCTGATATGAGAAGAAAAATGGCTTTAAATGTGTGTATCTGATTTAAGATAAAGCTGCAGCAAGAAACCGCCTGCTTTATGCTTTGTAGCTTTGTGTTTCAGATTACCAAAATACTTTTATGAAAACCAACCGCAACTTTGCTAAAGGCAAATATTCTGCCAATAGGAGCCAGTAATAAGAAGTTCTGTGTTCTATCAACACACAATTTAAAAAGTTATTTAACTGTTAACTTAACCTGCTTGATCACTTTTCCAAAGACATAAAAAAAAAAAGCTTTGTGAGGTTTGGGGATCAACTTGATGAATATGGTTTTCACTTCATTGTGTCTGGGTTTTAGGTGAGCTACTTAGAAGGTCAGCTTAATTCCTGCAGGAAGACAATAGAGAGACTGGAACAGGAGCTCAAAAAGTAAGTTTTCATAGCTATATTTTTATTTATTTACATAAAATCAGTTCAATTGATTACTGCATTTGGAAATAATTAGAAAAAATATTCCTTTGCTTTTCAATACCCTGCAACCTTGTTTGTTTTCTTTGCTCAGGTACAAAAATGACTTGGATCGTTCTCAACCCGCTGGCTCCTCCTGCTCCTCCTCTGAGCTGCAGCCTTGCAGCACGCCACAAAAGACTTTTGCTACACCAGCTCCAGTCCCAGCATACAGACAGCAGGGTATTTTAGTTTGTGTCTTTATAGTGATGCAGAGTTTATGTTCCTGGGCTGATTTGTTTAGTTTGTGTTTCACAGATAACAAGCTGGAGGAGCTTCAGGAGAAATACAACCAAGAAGTGGAGGAAAGAAAAAGACTGGAGACTGAACTCAAAGTTTTACAGGTCAAAGTGAGTAAATGGTGAACAGGGTTTCATTAGCTTAAATTTTTTTGAATGAAATGGTAAAAATGTTATGCTTCTTCAGACGTTGAGTCAGTCATCGGTCAGCGTCAGCCACAAGGACATCGCAGCTCGCCAAGCTGGATCGTCTATTTTTCCGTGGCAACAACAGGATAACGGCGTACGTGGACAGGATGCGATGGAGACACCTCTGAAGAGACGAGGGACATCCTTGTGGGAGTCCCATGAGGAGACGCCCATTAAATCTAACCAGCGGATGAGTTCATCTAGAGCTGTTCAGAGTCCCTGTGGGTCCTCTCAGCAGACGGAGCAGCTAAAGACTCTTAACCAGGGTATTTATTACACTTTCTTGTGTTTTATTTTTAAGTGTGTAGGGCTAAATTTCCTAACATTTTTGTTTGAGTCACACGATCAGTAACAAGTATTTTGTTTTTCTCCTTCAGAGCTGCGCACTCGTGTGTTAGAGCTGGAGAGGAATCTGTCCAATCAGGAGAAAGAAATCCGTAATCAATCTTCCAAACTGCAGGAACTCCAAACTCATTTGAACCAGGCCCGCAAAGATTTAGCTGAGCGGGACAGAGACCTATCCAAAGCCGGTCAGGAGAGGAGTCAGGCTGCAGATAGACACCAGCAGCTAGAGGCCAAGGTAGAACAGATTGATTGAGTTGAGCGTACGTAGAGCATTGACAAAGATGGCTGAAATGTTGATCTGTGCTGTTTTTAGTGTTCATCTGTGGAGCAGAAGCTGAAGCAGGTGTCAGAGGAGCTCAGCTGTCAGAGACACAACGCAGAAAGCTGCAAACGAAACTTGGAGCAGAAAATTAAGGACCAAGAACGGAACAGTCAAAAGGTGAAGCAACGCATTAGCTTGTTGTTAAAAGGCTCTGCTTGTGTTTGGCTTTTCATCCGAGTGACTCTTGGTTTGTGCAGGAGCTGGCCCAGCTTCAGAGTTCTCATCAGGCTTTGGACCAGCAGCTTAACCAGACCAGAACCAAACTTACACAAGAGGTCCAACAGTCCAAAAAAGACTACAATGTGCTTCAGGCTGACATGGAGAAGGTAGCTTTGAAACAGATATTTCTTTCTTTCTACCACTAAACGACTAAACTGATCCAATGTCAGTATTTCATCCTGCTGTGGCTTGTTTTATTTTACTTTGCAAAGTGTCATAAATAGTTTTATAATTGAAATGTATAGATGCGCCTCCAGAAGAATCAGTTGGAGAAAGAAATTGAAGAACAGAAACAGAAAATGCTGCGTTCAGAACAAAGCCTGCAGGCCAGCCAGAGCAAAGAGCAAGAGCTCTGCAAGAAAACAGAGGTGTGTTCAGATCTTTCTCTTTAGTGCTTTTAACTTCATTTATTTGATATTATTTCATATTTGAATGAATGCATTTCTACTTTTCTCCAGGAGCTACAGAAGGAGAAAAACAGTCTGACTGTTCAGCTGGATCGCAGCAGCAGGAGTCTGTCTCAGCTGGAAGAGGAGAAGAGGAGTTCAGACCAGGTCCTCAAACGCACACAGGGACTGTTGGAGGATCTAAAAGGTAAGCCGGTTTTAGGGGTCATTCTTGTTTCTGATGCCATGTTACCATGGTGACCTGGTTTGTCTTTTGGTTTTAGCTAGATCAGAAGGACAGAGTGAGGATCTGAAGAAACTTCAGTCCAAACTTGAGCAGCAGAATCAGGCTGCAGCACGAGAGCTGGACCTGTTAAAGAAAACACTTTCTGAAGCTGAGACCAAACATGACAAGTACGAACAATTTCAGCTCCTTGATTTAAAAAAATAAAACACCCAGTTTATGACAAAGTATCAAAAATTGTTATTATTTGTTTTTAAATTATTTTTCATTTTAGATCCCAGAACGAGCTTCAGAAGCAGAAGCAAGAGACGGAGAGGCTGAGCAGTAAGCTGGCTGTCGTCGAGAAGGAGAGCCAGGAGCTGAAGTCCAACCTCACTGCGAGCCAGAATGAGAGTAAAGCTCTGAAACAGGAACATCAAGCACTGCTGGAGTGGAAGAAGGAGAAGGAGGCTTTAATAAACCAGACAGAAGCTGTGCAAACAGAGCTCAATGGCAAAATCAGCAGCTTGGAGAGCGACCTCACAGTTCTGAATGAAGCTAAAAATGACTTGCAGGTCAGTGCAAACATGGAATTTCTTATGATCGCGTCATCAGGGTTCCAGTCATTTACTCAGCTCTGAAATAGTAAATGCACCAGATATGAAAATGAAAGCAAACACCAACATGGATTTTTCTCGTGTTATTGCAGAATAAGCTATTGTGTGCAGAGGGAGACAGAACCAGCCTGTCTGCTCAGATCGATGCTCTGAAAGGAGAACTCCTCAACAAGAGCACAGAGCTGGAGGAGAAAGCGCATCAGTACGAGATGCTGCAGGTTCAGCTTTCTGAAGCTGGACATAAACACAGCAAAGACCTGGAGAATGTCGGGAAGCAGCTGGATCAGCTCGGAGCACAAGTGAGACTTCAGGATAACCCTTTGCGTTTCATAGGAAGTGTGAAAAGTCTTTAAAAGAAATTAAAAAGTAGTCTGAAAATTGTGTTTATTTAGCTTTTTATTAGATTATAATAGATAATTTTGCACAAGTTAGGAAGAGAATAGCATGTGCTGCGTGCAGTACTTGGTTCATCCACCAGGGGACAGAATACTTGGGTAGAAGCATTAGTAAATTGTAGACCAAGTATATAACAAGATCTTCCACCTGTCTTCTCACACATTTTTGTTCTAGTAAGGATTATAATTAAGTTTTTATTCCCTGATTTAATGACTTGATCAGGTCAAAGAGCTGGAGTCACGGTTGCAGAAGGAAATCTCTCGAGCAGAACTTGCTGAGAGGACAAATGCTGAGCTGCAGGAGGAGCAGCGGGCAGCCTGTGACCTGCTGCACTCCAAGGATCAGCTGGTGGAGCTGGGCCTGGCTGAGATCAGTCAGCTGAAAGAAAGCCTCCATCAGTCTGCTGCACAGCAGGAGGAGCTGAGTGTCAGGTGAGAGGCGCACGCTTAATAGTTTAATTTTTTTTTTTTTTTACTCGAGCTGTAATAAAATGACGTATTGTTTTGTGTTTCTGTTTCCTTCAGACTTGCAGAGGAGAAGGAGGCTCTACTGAAGCAGTGTGAGGAGAATGTTTTAGCCAAGGCTGAGGAGGTCGAGCACATAAAGCTGCAGAAGGAGGAGGTCCAGCAGGAGCTGCTGCTCTCCAAAAACCAGGTCTGTACTGCTCACTTTACACAAGACCATCTTCAAAGCTTCTAGTTTATTAACTTCACTTGTTTATCAGGTTATAAAGAAAACAATTGTAAGTAAAGTTTGCTCAAACAAATATGAAAAATTTCAGATCAGCTCATTGGAGCAGTTCCTGAAGGTCCAGGAGCAGCTGGGAGCTGAGCTACAACAACTAAATAAGACAATGTCGGAGAAAGAAGAGGAACTCCGAAAGATGTACGAGGAAAAATCAGCAGAGTTGGGAGAGCTGGAGAATGAGCTGAAGGATCAGAGGAGCCAGACTAAGGAGAAGGAGCAGCAGCTCAGAGGGGCTGAAGCTCAGATCGTGACTTTGGAGACACAAAAATCTGATCTGGAAAATAAAGTTGAAGAAATGGAGAAGAAAGCAGAGGTAGAAACGGATTTCTCTGTAAAAGTCTCATTTAATGTTTTTGTTTTTAAACTTATCTTTGCTATTCATTCATGTCTAGATGTTGCAGCAGCGTCAAACTGGGAGGATGAACGCCCTGCAGGAGCAAATTGCCTCCTTAGAAGAGCAAGTAGCTGCAAACAGAGAAGCCGCAGAAGAGCTTCCAGTCCTGAAGAGACAGCTGGAGGAAACCAATCAGTCCCTCCATCGCATTAATGAGTCCCTAGAAGCTGCTGAGAAGAGTCTCTCTTCTACAAATGAAATAAAGGCCAGTCTGGAGAACGCTCTGTCTGAGAAAACAGAACAGATTTCTGCTGTGGAGAAAGAAATTAAAGATCTCACAGAAAAGATGCAAAGTGAGTCAAAGAGCCACAGTTTAGAGGTGGAAAACTTAGTCAACAAAGAGAAGAGCCTTCGAGAGCAGCTGGAGGTCACTCGGGGGTCGCTGGCTGCTGCTAAAACTGAATCCAGTTCCCGTGGAGACGAGATCCGAGCCATGAAGTCCACTTTGTCTGCAGCTTCACACGGCCTGGAGGAGAGAGATAACGCCATAAAGAGTCTGAAGGAGAAGCTCAAAAAAGCAGAGATGGAGCAGATCAAAGCTTCGGATCTCCTGAAGGAGAAGATGGTCGCCATGAATAAAATCAAGGTTGGTTAAAACTTGTTTTTTAGCTTTAGGCTAAAGTGTTACGCTGGAAAAGACCATTCAAGTTTAAAGTGTGAATTTACTGATTTAAGGTGCAGCTGGAGATGCTGCAGATGGATCTGGAGGACAACGAGTCAGCCATGAGCGCTGCCGACAATCAGATGAAGGAGCTCAAGGAAACCATAGCATCACTAAACACCCAGCTGGCTCAGAGCCAGACCCTGATGTGTGAGATGGAGGCCAGACTGGAGGAGAGCAAAGCCCAGGTAGGGTTAGGATTTCACACGCATCTTTACTTTACTAATGAGTTTTTACTGACGGCTTCTGTCTATTTTCAGGTCTCTGTGTTAGAAACCCGTCTAGATGAGGTCCAGTCTCAGAACTCTTTGCTGGAGTCTAAATACGTCACGGCTAAGGAGGAGCTGCTGGAGAGGAGCGGTGAAATAACCCGTCTGGAGGAGGACTCGGTCAGACGACAGCAGCTGGAAGAGAGCGTTGCAGCTTTAGAGTCTAAGCTCCGTCAGACCGCCGAGTCAGAGACGAGGCTGCGGCAGACGATTCAGGACAACAATGACCGTCACTGTCTGCTACTGCAGGAGAAGGCCCACCTGGAGGTGGCTCTGAAACAGTTGCTGGACGAGAAAGAGCAAGTCGATGCTGAAAAGGCAGAGAAGAAAAAGCTGGAGGTCCGAGTGGGTGAATTATCCAAAGAGATGAAGCAGCTTCAGACTCGAGTTGAACAACTATTGGAGGAAAAAAAGCAAATGGAAGGGAAAGTTGATCAAATCGCTGCAGAAAAACTCAGAGTTGAATCGGACTATGATCGGGTTGTGGAAGAACGATCCCAGCTGGGTGTTACGCTGAGTTTGGTGAAGGAGGAGAAACTTCAGCTGCAGGGGGAACTCTGTACTCTGACCTCCGAGAAAACAGATCTAGTCTCCACTTTAAAACGGATCACGGATAACTGTTCCCAGGTGTGTGAAGAAAACACGCAACTGCAGTCCAGGATGAGCCGAACGACCGAGGAGAACCAGCAGCTACAAGCAAACATAGAGAAGCAGCAAGAGGAGATCACTTCTCTCGGAGAGGAGAACCAGTGTGTCCAGCGCTCCCTGGTGTCCTCAGAACAAGAGCGCCAGAACCTGAAGGAGCATCTCGAGGTGACGGAGAAGAAGAATGAAGAGCACAACAAAGAGCAGTATGTCTGGAACCGTCCTCTACTTGATTTTTCCTTCAGCCTGTTTCTGGAGAGGTAAACGCGTTAATATTGTTTCACAGGAACAGGAAGTTTGAGGCAGATCAGGCTGAACTTCACCAGAAGCTCACAGTTTTACAGATGGAGCTGACTGAGCTCCAGCAGCAGCACGATCTACTGCTCCAACAGGTGGTCCAACAGCACGGCTTCATACAGCAGCTCTCAGAACCACAGGGCGGCCCAAACCCAGCAGAGGAAATCAGACACGAGGAACCAGAGGCTTCTGGGGTCTCTGGTGAGCGCTGACTGCGGTTACTTAACGTTCAACAGTTTATTTAAGTTTCTAATTATTAGCTTTTATTTCTTCAGCTGAGACGGAAGCCGAGCCAGATTTTGGTACCAGAACCGAGTTTCCTCCACTTAACGAACAGCAGGAGCTTTGTGACAAGGACAAGAGGTAATGGCGAGATTCCTACTAAACACAACATGAAAGTATTGGGTGTTTGTTTTTTATTTAATTATGAATTTAATAAACTCACCTCTGCTCCAACAGAGAGGAAGAGGCGAGCTTCAAGGCGAGTGACTCCGAAACAGGGCTGATCTATGATCAGCTGCAGGAGAAGAAGGAGACGTTTGAAGAAATGAAAAATGACGACGAGGTAGAAAATAAAGAGTCAAAGTCAATGTGGCATAACTGCAAACAACTTTTTCATCTATGTGTATCACACAGGGTATCCGCGGGTCCTTAAAAAGTCTGAAATTTGCTTTTTCAAATATAAGGCCTTAAAAATGACAAATAATCCTTAAATACAGTTTCCAAAGGTCTTAAATTACCAAAGACCCAATAAACAAGATTCTTTTATTTCTATAACATTTTTGTGAATTTCTAGTTAGTGTTCAGCAAGTTTTGTGTACGATGTTGGCGTAAGCGGAACCGTACACATTCAGTTGGTTGTGAAAGGGGGCTATTTTTAGATGAGCACGCTAGTGGTAGTTTGCGCCATGGGGAAGTGCAACATTAATGGTAACTGGATGGCTAATCCCACGTTCGTGACGTGGTTAGCACCGGTTCCAGGCAATAGCTGGAAATTATAGCTTAAATTTAATTTTAAAAACTAGCTTAAATTTGGTCCAAGTGGCCTTAAAAAAGGTCTTAAAAAGTCTTAAATTTGGCTCCCTTAAATCTGCAGATACCCTGATCACAGCAAAACGATGTGTTTGGATTATTTACAGAACTGATTTTTAACTTTTATTCGTTCAAGGTTTCAGAAAATCAGCCTGAAACTTGTGACTGGCCTTCCGCTCCGAGTCCTAAACAATCTCAGAAATCACCTGGTGAGTTATTTTGTATTTATACCTCTGCTATTAATAATTTTACAGAATGACTGAAACTGTCTGTCTGTCGGTCAGAACACAAATCCTCACAGGAACAAGACTTCAGCTCCTTTAAGGAACTCTTCTCAAAACAAGAGGGCCAGCTGGAGTCTCTCCGCTCAGACTGTGACCTGCTGAGATCTGAGCTGCAGCTGAGAAAAGAGTTGACCTCTGACCTGGAAGTCCAAATTCAGAGCTTGGAGCAGAAAGTTCAGGCTGCAGAGCAGGCGGCTCATGATGCTATGCATCAGCTGAGCACCACTTTGGAGGCAAAGAAAGTTCAGGATGAGGAGGTAGAAGGACAGCACGCTGTCAGCGTCTCGGTGATGTTTGTAGTCCAGAGGTTTTTACGTTTGGGCTTTTCTTTAGGTGACTCAGCTGTTGGAGGAGAAGGAAACGTTAACTCTACAACTGCAAACGTCTAAATGTCAGCTGATGGACGTTGTGGAGATGCTGGAAGGACTTGAGATGGCAAAAGGTTTGTCCTTAAATCTCAAATTGGTGTTTGTTTCTTCTATTTGTGGCATTAATGAGATGTTTTTACTTTCTTCTGTAGGTGGATGGGATGAAAAGTTCCTTCAGCAGGAGAGTGAGCTGAAGAGGGTTCGCTCAGAAAAGGCGAACCTGGAGCAGCACATACTGGGAATGGAGTCGGAGCTGGAGGCCATGCAGGTGGAGAGCGGCAGGCTCAAAGAAGAAGTGGAGACGCAGAAGAGGACTTGTTCAGGAATGGAGCAGCAGATGGAAACGCTCCAGACAGAAGTGAGCACTCTGAGCTCAAACATCAACAAATTAGCTCAGGATCTTCTGATTTCTGTTGAGGAACATAACCGAGCTGGACTAAATGTTTTAATTTGTGTCTGCAGACAAGCCAGCTGAGATCTGAACTTGTGTCCTGCACTGAAGACCGAGATGAGTTGAGCCAGTCTTTGGGTCGGTGGAGAGAAAAGGCTCACAGTTTGGAGAAGACTGACTGTGACACCAGGAATTTAATATCCATCCTGGAGGATGACATCAGAGCAGGAGGGAAGGAGAAGGAAGTCCTGCAGAGTAGTGTGGAGAAACTCGAGGCACAGAGGGATCAGGTAACTATTGAAAGATCGAAGAAGAAAATATGTTTTCACTGGTAGTTTTTACTAAAGTGATTCTTTCTGTCCACACAAAGTTGTTGGAGCAGGTTAAGGTTCTGGAACAGGTGATTTCTCAGCACAACGGAGAAACAGAGGAGCTGCTTGGTCGTCTCAACCAGATCAGAGAAGATCAGACCTCCAGCAGTCAAAACACAGAGTCCATGGCCGGCAAGATCCAGGTCTGCTTAAATTAAACCCCAGAAACCGTCTTTCTTCTTAGAGTTTTTGATCCTAACGTTCTGCTTCCCTCCTGCTTTTAAGGCTTTACAGGGAGAAGTGTCCTGTCTGTCTCAGTCTCTGGAGGCGTCTCTGTTGGAAAAAGGAGAGATTGCATCTCGTTTGAACTCCACTCAGGATGAAGTCCAGCAGATGAGGACCGGCATCGAGAAGCTCCAGGTCCGCATCGAGTCTGATGAGAGGAAGAAAAAGAAGATGGGCGAGCTGCTGAAAGGTAACCCTTAACAACAAACCCTCTAGGGTCACCTTCACAACCGTGTGTTGGAGTTAATGTGGCGTTTTGTTTCTGTAGCTGCCCAGAGGAGATCCGACTCGCTGCAGGATCGCATCGATGCTCTGCAGCGAGAGAAGGAAGATTTGGAGCAAAGTCTAGAGGCAGCTGTGATACAGGTATTCAGTTAAACAAAAAAACATGTGACTGTTTAAAATATTACTTTCTTATTTAGATTTTCTCTTCAACAGGCTGAAACATCCAAAGCTGAGCTGGAGGATGAGAGGAAAAGGGTACCTTCATGTTAACTTTAACACCTTCTGGGCCTTTCTTTAATACCTGCTTTGCTTTTTCCCTAAGAGTCTTTGTTTGCTTCTCAGGTGGAAGAAGAGAAGAAGGAGCTGAACAAGAAGCTTTCTGACCTCTCTGCCGCCCTTGACAGCCTGAGATGTGAGAAAGCACATCTGGAGAGGGAGCTGGAGGCCAAAAACAGTGAGATCGAAGAGCTGAAGGCAGCCAAGGATGAGTTGGAAAGAGGGCTGGAAAGGGCGGAGTTGGACAGGAGAGAGGAAGAGGAAAGGCAGAGAAATCGAGTGGACGAGCTGGAGAAGGGACGAAGAGAGGATGCGGAGAAACAAATTAGGCACATAGATGATCTCCTGGCCCAACTGGGAGCCTCTCGGGAGAGGGAGGGTTCACTGGAACAAAAGTGTGTGGAAACGGAAAGAGAAAAGCAGAAGATCCAGTCTGAGCTGGTGGAGCTGGACAAGGAGAAAGAATTTCTGTGTGGTTCACTTCAGGAGCTGCAGGCAGATGGAGAGAGGCTCTGCTCTCAGCGGGACGACCTGAGGACACAAATGGAATCTTTGGGAGAAGAAATAAAAGATCTTCAAACACGTCTAGAAGTTAAAGAAGAAGAGCTGCGAGCTTCGGAGAAGGAGAAGGAGGAAGACACAAGAGCATCCGTTAAATCCATCTCCTCTCTCACAGCAGAGAAAGAGCAGTTAGAGGAAAGAAACGGGCGACTAGCAGAAGACAAGGAGAAGCTGCAGCTGAGGCTGTTCACGCTGGAGGAGGAGAGGGAGAACGTGCTCTGCACTCTGGAGTCTGAGAAACAGGAGAAAGACAAACTGAATCAGGAGAGAAGAGCGTTGGAAGAAGAGAGGAGCACGCTCCAGAGTCAAATCTGCCTGATGGAAAAGGAGAAACAGGAGTTGCATCAAACTCTTTCTCTATCACAACGAGAAATGGAGAAAACAGAGCAGGAAAAACTGAAATTAGAGGCTGAAAAAGAACAACTGCAGTCCTCGGTTTTTAAACTAGAAGAAGAGAAGAAGAACCTGTCCTCGGTCGTTTCTCTGCTGGATCAGGAGAAGCAGCAGGCAGAGGAGGAGAGAGAGAGGCTCAGAGAAGAACGTGAGACTCTTCAGACGACTGCTGCATCTTTGGAGAAGGAACTAGAAACAAACAGACGGTCCGTCTCAGAACTCGGCAAACAGGTGTGTGAGCTCAAAGATCAAAAACAGGGCTGGGCTGGAAAATTCCCTCAATGAGATGGATTCATGTTTGGTATTTACTTCCTCTCCAGGTGTCTGACTTAACGTCTCAAGCTGCTCGTTTGTCTAAAGACAAAGATTCTGCTTTAAGCAAAATGAGCCTGTGGATGAAGTCCTGCAAGCAGCTGGAGCAGGAGAAGCAGATGCTGTTGGACAGCTCAGGTGGTTTAATCATCCAATTGGTTAACAACATCAACCAATTAAAGTCTTTAAAAGTTCTACATCTGTTTTCTTTTGTGTCTAGAGAGATTTTTAGTCTCTACGGAAGGAGCAGCTGGTTGAGTCGTGTTTTGTCTTCTCTGGTTTCAGAAGGACGAAGCAGCGAGGACCTTCAGACCCAAGTGAACCTGCTGAAGAAGGAGGCAGAGGAGAGGCAGAAGGAAGCCGAAGGCCTGAAGGCTTCCCTAGAGAAGAAAAAGATGGAGTCAGATGAGAGACTAGAGGAGAATCGTAGAAAAAACAAAGAGCTGAAGGAGCTGACGGACTCCCTCGACAGAAAGAATAAGGAGATTGAGGAGAAGGATTGCGAGTTGGAGGAGGTGAACAGACTTCTGGAGGAGAAAAGCAGAGAGGCTGATGAGAGCTTGGATAAATACTGCAGCTTGATGGTTAAAGTCCATAAACTAGAGGAGAGCAACGAAGGGCTGAAGGTACGATTGGAGCACTTATCTGCAGCTCAGCACACTAATGAACCCAACGACGCAGACAAGCGCCGACGTTCAGGAAGGAAGTCCTCCAAACCGCAGGAAGTTAAAAATGATATGGAGAACCTGGTCCCCTCAACGGTTCTCAGGTCTCCCCGGGGCCCGTCTGCTGGGAAACGAGGTGTCGGCGAGATGAGCGACAAAGATGGCGCCCAGGAAGCTCTGCACAATCTGACAAAGAAGATCAAAGCCAGCGTCGTCATGACAACGCCCAAACCGGGACCTGAGCAGGAGGATGAAGAGTTCAGACCAGAGGGACTTCCTGAGCTGGTGCAGAAAGGTGGGTGATGTTCTAGAGCTGCAGAACTTTACCAACATCTGGCCTCATAACAGAGTTCATTCTCCCCCTCCGTCCTTCAGGGTTTGCTGATATTCCTTTAGGAGAGGCCAGTCCGTTCATCGTGAGGAGAACCACGGCGAGGCGCTGCAGCCCGCGGCTGGCCGGCCGGCAGACTCTACCCGATGCCAAGGTGAGCAAGATTTAAGGAGCTGTTCCAGGTGGAGAGGAAAACTGATTATTCCTTGTTAATCTGTGGATTTCTTTCTTCAAATATCTCACCTGCTGTTTTAGTTTAAGTCTTTCATGTTGTTTACCCTCAGGTTTTGGGACCCATCCCACTCCAGAGCCCATCTTTAATGGCGAGTCCGTCCCAACGGAGTGAAGACGAGGCAGAGCAGAGAGAGAGGCAGGTTTTAACAGATCAAAGTGCACAAGGTGACAACTGTAAGATCCAGTAGGTTCCTTCACTCCAATGTAGAAACACACGACCCTAACCAATATGTAATTCTCTACATTTACACCATCACATTATTCTATAACACACCAGTTTACTCTCTCTCTGCTAAAACCTGAGTCACAAATAAAAACCTACAATTATTTTTCTTTATTTTTGTTCTCAGTTAACCTTCAGAACCAGTCTCCTCTCACGTTTGTCTGCTATGGTTCACTGTCCCTGTCTGGCTGAGGACCAGACATGTTTTTTTAGTGGTTTGAGTTTATAAATAGATTATATCTGCAAAGCTTCACTTATGTGGCAGCTAAGATTGTTGCTGTAGTTTTTTTTTTCAACTCTTGGAGGTTTTTATATATATATATTTAGAGGTTTTTCTGGTTTTGCTCCACTTTTGTTGTTTTAGTATTAAAATGTTTCTGTTTATTGTAAATAGTTTTTACAGCAAACATTCCTTTTTTTAACTAAACATTTTAAACACTTGTCTGGTCTCTGTCATTTTGGATTAGCCGCTGCTACATGCTAACTAAACATCACTTTTGTGTAGCACACACACAGGGGGGCGGTCCTGAGCCACTGTAGGTGAGTTCTGACTGAACTAAATTAAAGATTTTGGAGGATTTTACTTTAAATTGGAATAACTTTTATGGGAAAAACAAAAATGTTTTCATTTGACTAAAAAGTAAAAAGTTCAGCTTTGGAAGCAGCTTGTTAAAAATGTGACGGTATATCTAAAACTGCCATTTTAATTCTCTGCACACGATGACATTTAGCTCACAGATAATTGAGTTTGACTTCATCAGGTCAAACGTGGGACTGAATAGAGCTTCTGCCTCATTTCTCAAAGGTCTAATTCAATTCATGAGGTGGGCTTAAATTAAGACTGATTTCATTGTGCCTCACTACACACACACATACACACACTTATTGCATTATACTGCATATTAAATGTAGAATTTGCACCAAAAATAGTTGATTAATCCCTCAGACTTGCAGTTTTATTGAACTTCTTCAATATATTCTTATACTGTTTTTCCCTTGTGCAATAATAGTTCACTTAGCTTAGATGACATGTCTATACTTTAAAAATCTATCTTTAGTCCTGCCCAGTTAAGTAGGTGTGTTGAGGTTCATGTCTCTGCTCAAGTCAAATTTGAAGCGTTTGTAGCTCTCCACTCCGTTTACACTAATCCCCATGGAGAAGATGCACAGCACTATAAAGGACCTGTGTTTGTATGGCGCCTTATTAGGCTTCTACAACCCCCCAAGGTGCTTCACAACACAATCGTTCATTCACACGCTGGTGGGGAGCTTTGATGCGGCCACAGCTGCCCTGGGGTGCAGTGGCAGTGGCGAGGCCTGCCGAACACTGGCGCCACGGGACTCTTGGACCACCACTGTGAAAGTGCTTCCAGATTTTGATCCATACGTTTGACCGAAAGAGCAGAAATCTGTAGAACAGCGTGAACACTGAAGATTTCATCAACTGTACTGTTTTATTCTTCGACATACAGGTCGGCTGATAAATCAGACCGATATTTATCTTTTTTTTATACATCACATCATTCGATATACTTCTGTAGTAGAGCTGATTTAGAGTCGGGCACATCCGCAGGCACCCCGGTGCTGCTTCTGAATTTTATTTTAATGTTACATTCCTGGGTTGCACAGTGATGCAGTGGTTAGTGCTGCTGCCTTGCAGCAAGAAGGATCTGGGTTCAAATCCCGACCTGGAGTCTTTCCGCATGGAGTTTGCATGTTCTCCCTGTGCATGTGTGGGTTCTCTGCGGGTGCTCCAGCTTCCTCCCACAGTCCAAAATCATGACTGTTAGGTTCATTGGTCTCTCTAAAAATTGTCCGTGTGTGCTTGGTTGTGTGTCTGTGTTGCCCTGCAATGGACTGGCAACCTGTCCAGGGTGTACCCCTGTCCAGAGACTGCTGGAGATGGGCACCAGCCCCGCTGCGACCCTGCGTTAATAAGCGGGTAAAGAAAATGGATGGATGGATGTTACATTCCTGACAAACTGCTTAATAAATACTCAAAAACATTCTTGCACATGTACCTGTTTTTTTATGTAACACTTGGTCTGTTTACTAATTGCTCTGATTAACTTTAGTTAAATGATTGATTTTAATACTGAGCAGTGCAAAAAAATAAGATTTAAGAGCTGGTTAAATTCAGAGCTCAGAAAGGTTCATCCACTGTTGTTATTAGTGACATTTTAGTATGCAGAGAAGGCGGGAAATGTGAAAATTGCTAAATCTGCAGCTAGGGCTGGGCGATACGGTGTAAAATCAATATCACGGTAAATTGAGGATTTCACCTCGATAAAGATAAATGGACGATAACTACAGGTATGTGTAGAAACAAAAGTTGTCCACTAGATGGGGCTGTCACGTGTATTACCGAGTCACATTTTTACGTGACTCAAGGTGGTACGGCTTCTTAAAGGGACATGAATGTTGCCAATCTACACACATCTTTTCATTTATTTATTATCAAATGTGTTGACATGGGGAAAATGATCTCGATAAGAGTCAGAAATGTCGATAATGATACATTTTCGATTTATTGCCCAGCCCCATCTGCACCACATGTTGGTGGTCGGCTGACGTTGAGCTCTAGATATCGGTATCGGCTGTTAAAAAAAACATATTGCTCTATTTCTAATTTTGACACTTTTCATATGTTCTTTTAAAGGTGAATTTATCTCTGAACAAACAGGCTGATGTAAACGTCATAAAGGATTAGCAGCTTTTTGTTTCTGTGTAAACCCGAGGAACTCCGCTTTGGATCAGTTTATTGATGGAACTTCAGACATTAGAATAAGAAAATTGTCCTGAGTTGACCTTTCCCCCTCTTGTTCTGCTGGGATCTCAGAGACTTGGGGTTATTTTTAGAGAATGCTTCTCCTGAGACCTTGATTGGTTTCTTATTGGAGGATGAGATCTTAGAGCAGGAGGGGAAACACTGAGATTCATAATTTCTTCTGCTGGTGTGTGTGTGTGCGCGTGCGCGTGCGCATCCTGAGTGAGGGACAGGAGGGCAGGGTGAGGTTATGGGAAAAGAGAGGAGACAGTTTTGCCCTGATGTCTCTGGCTGCAGCTGTTAGCGGAAGCTGCAGTGCCAGAACCAACTCTGGCTCGGCACACGGGAATCAGGGAGATGGGCCCGCTGAGCTATGTTATCACTGCTCTCTGACTGGAGAGCGTTTGTTTGTTTATGCGTGTGTGTGTGTCCTGTACAACTGATGGACAGACCGACTGCCGGTCACTCTGCTGTATGCATGATTTGTTCCATTCTTCACTCGGCAACACTGTGTAAGCAGCAGGAACCGGTTCTGAACAGAACCCTTTTAAATGAAACCAGTTCAACCACACTGGTACCACTTCTAGACCAGCTTTACTAAGCTGGATATACGTGTATAAAACTAATGAAATTCTTAACAGCATTTATTATTCATAAATCACTTGAAGCATAATTTTGTGACTTTTTGAGCCAATTGAGGTTATTAAATTATTTATGATGGTGGAAAACAATTGTACTGATATCTGAGGTGAATTTCTGACAGCTTTTAGTCCTGGATGGAAACTACCCACGTGTTCAAAGTAAAAGTGGATTTTCTTCTCTTTGTGGTCATGTTTTAAATTCTAATCTGGGTTTCTTTTTCCCCGTGTCCTGTCTGGCTGTGAAGCAAACAGAGTTGATGTTTGAATGCTGGTAACAAGCCTTACAGAGTTATTCTCAGGTGGAGCATCAAAGCGTCTGCTTTAATGTCACGCCTGATACTTAAAACTTTATTGTTTTTGGATGCTTTTTAATTCTGACCAGACACGGAGACAGAGGTGAAAGAGAAAGGAAGAAAAAAGAAGATTTCAGACCCGGTACACAAATAGATTTTATCTGTGATGAAATGTTGGTGGTATAATCCATTTAAAAGTCTTCCAGGAGGTACGTCATTGGAAAGGAAAATTTATTTAGAATGCTTTTTTTTTTAAAGCCCCTTTTCACACTTTACAAATCCAAACTTAACATATCCAAACTGTGTGCTGCAGGAAGGAATCTCCCTTTTACATTTTTGCTGAGTGACAGCACTGATCCATTTGAACGCCGTGTTACGGCTGCAGCTGATCCCCCCCACCTTTGATGGCCTGCTGAGCTCTTTCAGTAAACGAAGTCTGGCCATGAGCCAGTCTACTGTAACTGTGTAGTGGTGTTGATTCTGGTCTGTACTTCCTGCTTTCATAACTTTACAGCACGCATCATGAGAGCTGCAGGCACTGGCTGGTCACTCATCGAGCTGTTCTGTCGCCCAGAAACTTAAGTGATCACTCATTGGGTCAGCTGCTGCTCTGAACTGTGTGTGTGTGTGTGTGTGTGTGTGTGAGAGAGAGATAGAAAAGATACTGACTAATGTGCTCCTTAATATACAGAGTTAAATGTGGCATTGGATGTAAACGGAGTCAGTCAGGACTGAGATAAACTTGAAAGTCATGAAAACTAAAGCTAGTGGTCCTGAAGCAGACCATCATACTACTGCCACCATGCTTTACTGCATTCTGACACACACTTTCCAGAAAGATCCCCTTTTGTCTCATCAGTACACAGTATTTCCCCAAAAATCTTGGGGATCATCAAGATGTTTATATTAAACATGAGCTGGGCCTTTCTTTTTTTGTGTCTGAACAGCATTTTCTTCCAGAGTTCTCTCGCAGAGGCCATTTTTTTTTACCTCCACCTCTTTATTGCTGAATCATGACCTCTAACTTTAACTAATTAAACCCTGCAGCACTTTGATTTCCTTTGTTATGTGACTTGATAAGTTGCCTTTTGAGATCTTTTAGCCTATTTCATATTGTCAAACAGATTCTAGTGATTTATTTAAGTTATATTAGTATTACTTGCTCTAATCAGTTAGCTGGGCTCAAGGAGTATTTATTGGACATTTGTGAAGGAACCATTTTAAAATAAACAACAATTTCAACCAATTAGCATTAGCGTGTTCATTGCATCCTTGCTGGGTTCTATGAAAATGGTCTATTAATGTGACTATTGGCAAATAAAAACATAATATCATGTTTTTCTTCCCAATAAATGGCCATACTTTTAAGTACGTGATTTAAATCCTAATAAGACAGATTGATGTTTAGGTTGTTTAGGAGAGGCGTGTGAACTCATGTCTGTGATTAAGATTCACATTTTTACACAATTTGTGTGTGACTTCTGCATTTTTATGAAACACAAACAGTTTCTGTTAAAAACTCCATGATTACTCTTCTATTAATATAAAAAAAACATTTGGTGAATTTACCAAGTCGGTTTAGCTTGTAAAACTTAATTTTTGCAACTGAATTTTTAAAATAAAAAACTTTCACCAACATTTGTACAATTAGGTCTCAAATTTATTTAGGTAAAAATAATCATTTTTATTTAATTTCCTGTGTGTAAAAATGACAAACATTTCAAAACATGGCGATACGCTGAATTAAAGTTTTCTCAGCTTGTGTGAAATCCCATCTGGTCAAACGTGAAAGCTTCAGGTTCTCCTTTTGACTGGATGAAGCAGAAAATTGGACTTCAGGACAGAATTTATTTGGTGATAGAAAGAAAAGGCTGCTGATCCAACAAAGGCACATTTAATAAGTTTCTGTTTTCTCTAAATCTCAGATATTCATGTCAATAAAGCTCTTTCATGACAGTCACAGGAAGTGGTAAAAACAATAGCTGAGAGTCCAGAAAATTAACTGGAAACCTTAAAAGCTTTTATAAAAAATGATATCAATAATCTCAGAAAAAGAATCTGACTTTTTTCTGAGACAGAAATTATGACTATCAGCAAAAATATTTAGAGTAAAAGCAGAGATTAACCCTCTGGAGGCAGGCGTTGCAGATTTGCAACGTTTAAATCAGTGACGGTTTTACCATAAGGCATAGGTCGGCGGCCGCCTGGGGCCCCCTTGTTTTGGGGGGCCCCCTAGCCCTGTCCGCCGGTACCCCTCTCTCAATGCCACAATGGACTATTCCTTTAAGACGGCGATGCACAAACAGGAAGTGATTGGTAGTCATTCCACTCCAATCCAGTTGGTGACGGGAATGCACCAAATTGTTGTTTGCCAAGTGCCATAAGACCAGAAATAATAATGAAAAGAGAAAGCAGAAAAAGAAGAAGAGAGGCGGGAGCGTTTGAAACAAACTCGAAGCAGTAGTCAAAACATTAAGCATGAAATGGAGTTATCCTAGTGGCTCCAATAAGAGAAATAAGCAGCTTGTTTTAAAAAAGCTATTATCTTCACTTCCAAAGTGATGTCGTTTTGAATGTAAACATAAAATGGAAGCAGAAAAGGAAAGAAAATGGAAAATGCTTAAAGGGAGGAAAACCTAGACCAAAATAGAAGAAAAAAAGGCAAAAGCACAGGAGAAGACAGCAGAGCAAATAATGAAGGCACTCAAAGGGAGAGAAAGACAGAAAAAAAGAGGAGGACTAATAAAAAGTGAAAATAACTCATGTCAGAAGAGGGTAGAGTTTCGCAAATCCATTTAAAGGTAAGATTGTCGAAAAGTTTGTGTAAGGGGGCCCCATGTCTGTGTTCGCCTTGGGCCCCCAAATTGCTAAATCCGCCACTGGTTAAAACCTACCTACCTGGTTACTCCACATACATATTTGTTGAGCATTTTTTAACTCAGAAGTTCCCCTGAAGGACTTAGTTGTTCGTCCTTTTATCAAAACTCATTTTGAGCCTGAGGGTTAAGATTTGTTTCTGCCAAGAAGCTGGAAACCTTTTTGTTTTGTTTTTACAACTGAACTAAGAAATCAAATAAACAAGAGACAAACAAAAAGTTATAGGCACTTTTTCAACATTAGCTCCTCTAATCCTGTTAATCTCTTATTTCTACCAACTGATCCATCTTCAGGCTTGTTTCCCTGATGGAGAAAAATGACTGATGGGTCAGGATTTGGCTGCATCTAAATTTCTTTCTGAAGAACCAAGCTGTGAGTAAGATGGCCTTTAGTTTATTTGAATCCTCGATGGATCTATTTTCTGAAAAGTTTCAGACTTCTCCTCTTTCTGGGTCCAGCCCGTTCATGAGCAGTCCTCCGTTTCTGACCAGGGGCGTGGTTAACCCCTGCAGCTCCTTCTCGTTCTTCTCTCGCTCGTCGTTAAAGTTGACCGACATGGTCCTCTTGGGCAGGGTGAGTTCAGGCGCGGAGCTGAATCCCAGCTCAGAAGACAGTTTACGTTTGATCGATGCAGCTCGCTGGAATCGATCGTAGATCTCAACGCTGACGCGACGACGAGTTTCTTTAAACTCTGCTGAGACGTTTGCTGTCCACTCTGCTGCATGAGCCCGGATCTCCCCCACCTGCAGAGGAGGTGGAGACGAGTGGTCAGGAATGTACAAATCAGATATCAGAAATATCCATCCAGGCAGCATCTATCATCCTTCCAGGCATTCATCATCCACCCACCTATCCATCCTTTCAGGCATCATCCATTTATCCATCCTTCTTTCCTTCCTTCCTTCCTCCCTCCCTTATCCAAATCCAGGACTCTCACAAAATCCCTCAGTCACTGTTTGGAGGAACTTTCTAGGATCTCCACCTTTTTGTCACATTCCAAATCTCAAGGATTGGACATACCAGACATACCAGTGGGTTAAGCTCATCTCCCTTTTTACCTCAACCGATGATAACAATGCTCTTGTTATTAGTGAGGATAAATTCCTGTTCCACCTGTCTTTCCTACCATCACCCATGAAGATACCTGGACTCCTTCCTAAGCGTTTTCAAGTCCTGAACCATGGTTTCAAAAGTAGAGGAGATGACTCCACGACTTAAAAAACAATTCCTGCTATTTTATTCCTATCAGCTTTTCCTGCTCTCAGAACACACCCTCCTGCATGTCTCAGATGTCTCGTTGCTGCAACGGGCCTGGTTTCTTTTGATCAGTAATCAACAGACAAACATCCTTCTTATTCACATTCTTAGCAGTTTTTTTATTCAACATGCTTTAATTTCATTGTCAGGGCATCCTGCCATGACTTCGGGCTTCTGATAATGTCACAAGCTCAGGTTCTCAGACTGGGGAGATCAGGGTGTGTTACAGCAGGACTTCGGCATGAGAGCACACACACCTCAGCTGCAGATGAAGCCCACTGATATTCATTTAATCTTGTTAAACTAATGGGGACGGAGAGCCGTGCCACTGTGTCCCAGCTGGAGACATAAGTCACGTCCTTCAACACCTAAAGAGACGTTTGTCTGTGAAGAATCAGCTGAAATAAATCTGAACATATTCACTCTCACACATCAAATCCAATTATCTGATGACAACACCTCCATCTTTCTGAAGCATCTATTATTTAAACTTATGTTCCTCTGGAGACAGCTGAATTAATTTCCATAACGTGTGCTATATTTAGAACCGTTCCATATTAACACTCAAATAGGAGCCGTGTTATATTTTTGCCTAAAAGGTCTCTCAGTCCCTTTGGAGGTGATCATAATAGTGTCTGTGTGTGTTTTAATGTCAGAAAGCAGTTAGATTAGAAAACAGTCGTATCATGAAAGTTGCAATGAATCTAAGCAGAGGGCAAATATTGATGAGATGCATGGTGGCAAGAAGGTTGCAGGTTTGAATCCTGCAGCCTTTCTGCATGGAGTTTGCATGTCCTCCACATGCATGCACAGGCCAAATTCATGCATGTAGGGGTTAACTGGTAACCTCAATTGTCCCTATGTGTGAGTGAGTGTGTGTCTTAAGTGGCCCTGAATTGTACTGGAGACAAGACCTGTGTCCCCCACTGGAGTTAGACATCAGTTCCCCATGACCCATCTCAGGAAAAGCAGGAGGGTAAGAGAGTAAATGTTGATGTGGAAGTAAAAACACTAAAAGGTCAGACAAGCGGCACAAGCAGAGAATCTGAAAATTAAAGGTACCTCCTCTTTGGTCCTCCTGGAAATGGCTCTAAGCCAGTCTCCTATCATGCTGAGGATCGCTGCAAAGTAGGCCAGTCCCACCAGGATCCAGAACCAAACCGCTGGTTTATAATAATCCAGGTACTGGATGTCTGATCCACCTTCTCACACACACACACACACACACATACACACACAGAGGGACAGGGGTGAGAAGACATGTCAGCGTTGTGCACAGAAACATAAACGTGTAAAGTCACCTGCCACAAAGTCTCCAAATCCAATCGTTGTCAAGGTGATGACGACAAAGTAGATGGACTCCAGAGCGGACCAGCCTTCGATGTGTTTAAAGATGGCCGCTGGAAGAGCCACGAAGATCAGGCAGCCGAACAGGACAAACAGCAGCGTGGACGTGACTCGGATCTTTGTCTGACTGATGTCCCACCGCTGCAGCAGGTAAAGCACAGCAGAGGACTTTTCAAGCTGTCACAAAACCTGCTGCTGTGTCTGCTTCTGAGGAACTTTTTACTGTAGTGAAATGAAACTGTGGTAAAATATACTAATTGTAGGTATTTATGAAGTATAAATCTTTCATGATTAAAATATGCTAAAAAAAGAAGCTTTTTTTTTACAACTTGACCGTGACAACAGAGTTTTAATTATTTCAAAAAAGGGTCTTTTGGGTGCTGCAAAAAAAAAAAAAAAAGCTACATTGACTTCCTGTCTTCTTTTCTCAATAATGGTCAGTAATGGATCCCTCTGGACTCATGAGAGCAGCAGAGGGATCATACCGAGCCACACATCTGTATTCAGATTTTTGCTTCTTCCATTTAAGACCAGTGATGCAGAATAACCATGCAGGGTTTGTTGTTAACAGATTTTCTGAAAATTGTAGACCTTTTGCTTAAAATAAAGAGCCTAAAATTCAGAGTGAGTCACAAACTTATATTACTCCATTTATTCAGACTTTTCTTCCTATTTTGCTGTGTAATAAATCATGCATCCATCTCTGAAAAGTGACTCAGCCTGCAGACTTCCCTGTCTCTTGAAACCATTATTAACATATCATCTCTTGACTGTTTGCTCTCATGGTGGTGTATCATTAAATCAGGGTCATGCAGTAATTATTTTCCCACCACTGTCACCAGAGGCTGAGGTGAACATTCAGCATAACAAAGCCAGAACAATCCCCACTGTCGCACATTTAATTTAATGCATTCATTTAGATTTATTCTTAGAGCTTGCTTCGTTTGTTGCAGACAAATGTTTTGTTCTAGTGTGTTCCTGGTTTTTGGGGTTTCAGACTCACCACAATCATTTTCTCCACTTTGGTAATGCCTTTCCCGAAAATGGTGCCAAGTTGATCTCCAACACCAGCCAACAGGAAACCAAACAGGGGGATTCCAAGCAAAGCGTAGATGATGCAGAATATTCTTCCACCTTGGGTGTGTGGAGAAATGTTCCCAAACCCTGCAGGGATAGAAACTTTAAAATCCATTTCTTCTATATTTCCATCCCATGATGTTATGATTTGTTTTATGTGGATGGAGGTTAAATGCTGCCGATTGGTGCAAAGTTGTGAGTTATTTTTTAATTATTCAAAATGCATTTTCACTGCACATAAAACATGGGTTAAAGAGCAAACTAACAAGATTTCACTTTGGCTTTAACAGCTGTAGTTTCTACTGCTGCAAGTGCACAACACCAAAACTGAAACTGAATAAGCTCAGTTAAAAAAACAAACAAACAAACAACTGAGACCAGAAAACTGATGAAAATACTTAGATGTGACAACATAGGTAAAAGTAAGAGTGTGTGTTACTAACAACTGGATTAAAAAGTTTTACTTCAATGAACACGGAAAAATAACAATAAAAAGTTAGATGAAAAGGAAAATACCAATGGTTATTCCTACCAATGGTTGTGATGACTGTCCCAGCAAAGAAGAAGGCGGAGCTCAGATCCCACAGGCTGCTGTGATTGGTCGGTGTTCCTGCAGGGTTCACCCCTGACCTAACTGCTGACACAACTTGCTGAAGAGAGAAATGAAACTGTAAAAAGGTTTCAGGTACAGATCAGAATTACATGCAATTTCATAAAGTTGTGTTTTGCCTTACGGATAAAGGATGAAATTAAACATATGAATTTTGAGATGAGGAGAACTGCAGGAGTGAGAGTGCTTTAAAGTATAAAGTCTCAAGGAGTTTCCTAGGAAACAACATCGATGTTGTAACTCATTCTGTGGCTCAGAATGTTTTGTTGTTGTGATGCTGAAACTGTCCGTGGTGCTGAAACTGGCTGCTGTGTGCTACATATTCCCAAAATTTATCCAAAATGAGGATTAAGATCCTGGTTCTGGAAGCTTTATAGATCAATACAAACTTCAACTTGTTCTCTGAAATGTTAATAAACAGCATTCTAATTACCTGGAGTGTGAAATAAAAAATTTTGAGATGTTAAAAGCTGTTGTGACTAATCACTTTTTGTGCCCTTGTGTTTATGATTTTTTTTCTGTCAAGTAATTGTTCCAGTTTTATAGGAAATGTGTTGATTTAACTGGTTCTGAGGCGATAAACGCTAATGTCATGGTTTCAGGCAGATTAGGCAGGTAGACTATTTTCTTAGCCTGGACCACTATAAAAACAAACAGTGACATTTTTGCGCATGTTTGTTTGTATTGTCATAGTTTGAGAAGTCTAACCTTCACCAGCTCCTCCAGTTGGCTCTGGTTGACACAGGGGTGTCGGGACAAGAACTCCAGTTTCTGTGAGAGGATGGCCAGACGCTGGGCACTAAAAGACAGAGAGGCAGTAACATTTCTGTGTTTTACAGACATTTTACCAAGCTACAATTACTGTGCTGAAAGACTGGAACTCACCAAAGGACTGAACATCCATAGTGATTTAGAGTTTGATAGCACCACAAAACAGTGAGAGGACATTTGTGCTTCATTCTATGCTGCTAAACCATGTCACTCTGTGCCGGTGCAGTCTGCCCCCACTTAAATAACTAACAAAACACCCATAATCATGTTACTTTCTGATGTTTGCAACAACTATTTAATGAGTTTAAGTGTTTATGATCCCCTGAGAGCTGGTGGCATTTGTGTCTTGGGGGAAAATAAGGAAACAAAGCACTCAGGTGTGCGTTTCTCAACAAAAAGAGGTCAGGCGTGTCAGGAAAAGGTAGACATTGTTGCATCTACGGGGGTGGACTGGCAATCTGGCATACCGGACATGTCCTAGTGGGTTGGTCTGGTCCCCCCTCAAATTTGTCTTTATTAGCCAAACCCTAATATTTATTGAAGCTTGCTTCTAGTGACCTCTGACCTTTCAGGCTTCTCCATGTGCAGCAAGAAAAACTGCAACCAACTGCTGAATAACTGCAAAATTCCAGGATGAGAAAGTTTAGGGATGCTTTCTTTGTGAACCTGCCCATTTGTAGTGAATCTGCCTCCATGAACCAAACACACACACACACTCACCACACACACACACACACACACACACACACACACACACACACACACACACACACACACACACACACACCAATCTACCAATAGCTCAAAGAGGAACAGTCAAAATCAGTCAAAGACCAGCATTTATCTGAGATCGTAGTATTTGTGTGACTACATTACAGCTTTTAGGACAGTTTTCAGCAGCTCTACGTCAGTTGGACAGGACAGAACAGGTGGGATGGCTTAAAATAATAAGGAAAAGGTTCTCCTGCCTACCTCTCATGAGGCTGCTCCAGAGACCTGAAGACTGCTGCTCCTATCACCAGGTACAGAACCACCAACAGAAAGATGGCTGTCACCGTCTTCCTCTTCATCACCGTGGCGACCATCTGCAACACATAAGCTACAGTCCAGGAACATCTACAAACAAAGGATGGGTCCAAAAATTCTGATTTTGTTTGTCACACCTCACTTTGCTCCTGAGGAGTCTGTGTGATTGGCTTTGTGGAGAAGGAGAGGCGGGGCTTAGAGTTGTGAGTGGCAGATTTGGGGTCCAATAAATCCGGAGCTGCCACTGTCAGGAGAAATTAAAGAGCAAGTCACCTCCTACCAGAGTCTAACTCCACTCCCACTTCATGTTTGAAAAATGCAACAAATGCTGTTGCCTGGCAGAGCGAGAGGGCGGAGCTGCTAACAAATACACACACACACACTCAGGCTCACGACAGCATTGTGACATCATAATGTACCAGTTTACATCATAGCATACCTCTCAGCCAATAGCGGTGGCAGATTTAAATTCAAATACAGTGCAGAGTTTTTACCTGACAACGGCACAACACTGCCAGTTTGAGGCAGAATATTTAAATTTTAACTAAGATGCACTGAAGTGCCAAATTATTGACTACACGTGTCTGCAGCACGATTAGACACTCGTTTATTTAGTTTATCAGCAAAAAAAGTTTATTTGGGGGTGACTTGCTCTTTAATCAGAAATTATAGTTATTTGGTACAAAACATTTCTTCATCATGATGCTAAAAAGGAAATGTGGGTATGTTAATCAGTTTTAAACAAAAATACAGTTACTGCCCTTATTTTTCCTCTATTGTAACTTTAAAAGGTAATATGACACAAACAATCACTCACAAACACTATGAAATATGTTAAATGATTATTTTAACAAATGTATGTAAGAAAGAACAAACCTAAGAGACAGATTTAGAGCTAAAATGGAATTCCTTCTCCTTATTGGAACTTTGCTCCTCTCCTTCCTGCTTTTCTTTTAAATGTTTTTGTTTGGGTTTAAATTTTAAACAAAAGTTGTCACAGTTCACTTCCATCCACATGAGATTAGACCAAACTGTTCTGAAATTTTACTGCCAACCTGGTGTTTTATCAAAACTTGAAAGCTTAATAACTTCTTGATAATCTGAAGTCTCTAGTAATTTTAAATAAAAAACTTTCATGTATTCATCAGTCCGTGAATGAAGGTTTCTCATGCTGCACCTTCTGCACTGTAACTGCTCACCCCTGAACTTTGTCTTTTTTATTATCCTCAATTCTGAAGTGAATTTGTGTTTGATAATTGTGCTGTTGCTAATGGAAAGCATATTGAATTGCCTCTGTGTATGAAATGGGCTAGAGCAGATATATGAGCAGGTGAATCTGTTTGCAGCTAATGTTAAAAATAATGTCATCAGGTATGGAGGAGGTTTCACGACGAGGTCTGAACTTACTGGTAGTTGTTGGCTATCCGATGCCCTCTGCTCTCCTGTTCTCCTCATCCGAAGCTCTCACTGTGTTTAGGGGAATCTTTCCTCCTCCGTGGTCCTGAGGAGGGTGAGCTGACCGACGCTCCGTCTTCCTTCTTCTGCTCTTCTTGACTCTCACCGCTGGCCGGACCCTGACACTGATGCTGCGTGGGTTTTATTCCCTCCACGTGCCACAGCAAATACTTTGCTCTGGTCTGTTTCCCTGTTCCAGCTCTGCAGCATCCACTGTTCTCCGCTCGCGCTCTGGCTTTTGAGTGCACTGATGGAGAGGTGGAATACCACAGAGAGGAGGGAGGAGGTGGTGGGGGAGGCATGGGGTGAACTGGGGGCCAAATGAGACCCTATTCTGGATTTTTAAAAAAGGTTTTGTCATTTCTACATCTGTGTAATAAGTTCAGAGTTTTAGGTCCAGATGTTTGAATTTATTTTTCAAGTTTTCAAACCTGGAATTTTACTCTGATTTCTAAACACAATCTGTTGTCAAGCAAATACAAAGACCAGACTGAAAATGAACAACAGGCCAACTTTGGGAAAAGGAAAGGAGAAAAGTAAAGAAGTGAAGGATGGTTGTATCAGAACAAGGAAAAAATAGATAAACAGACATTTAATTATTATTATTGGGTTTTTTCCCCAGGGGAACCCAAGTTAAAACAGGAAAACAAAGATAACATATTTATGGATATGAAAAATCAACATGAAATTATGACATCATATGAAACTTTTTTTTTGCTAATCATTTGAAATAATAACATTCATAACAAGACCAATTTTAATATTTTTGCTGCAATCTTAGAAAAATAATAGTTAATAATAGTAAAACAACCTTCTTCTTGTTCTATTTATTCTGCACCAAAGCAACCACAACAGAAGTATTAAATAATATTTAACCTGATCAGCTGCTGTAAAACTAGTGATTAGCAAACAGAGCTGGTTTATTATCACACCGTTCAACCTGACACATCTTATTGGATATTTACTCACATCACCGTGGTCTCACTTAAAGCCCAACCTTCAGATACAGAAGAAAATATTCAGCTAATAATTTATTCAGTTTGATGTCCAGTTTCTGCTCAGATTCATTGTTTTCACACATTTCATAATAAACATTTAGATCGGTGGCGGAGGAGTTAAGTGTCCGCCAACATTTGCTCAAGCCCTGCTCAGTCTCTCGCAGTTACACAGATGGTGTCAGTGCATTTTCTTTTTATTTAAAAAATACAATACTGATTAATTTGCTGCAGAAAATGCCTCATTTAGATCGATGTCCAGCTGCAAACACAAAGTTCTCATTTTACTTCTAATCTTTCCATTTCCGAGAGCATCAATGAGTCTGTTTCACACATTATCATTTGACTTCTCTGCAGAAATATTACTCCAGATGGGAATTATGTTCATGTTTGTGTGCTGCAGCAGATCATGCAGAACTAGATGTCTGCTGGTGCAGGTGGTTCATTCGCACAGCAGTGAGCTTCATTTCATTAAGTCAAAAACACACTATGTTTAGAATTAAAGCACAAAAGTTGAAAAGACACATGAGTTGTTCTTAATTGACAAAAAATAAATAAAAAAAAATACAAAAGAACTAACACTCATGAATCTCTGTTTTCCTTGAGCAGAACGTTTTCTGTAACAGTCTGGCCTTCACATTTAATTAGATCAAATTTCCATTGGGAGACTTTTGATGAAACGTTCCAAAACATTCATTTGGTTCCTTTTTAAATAATGTCTGGTAGAACGAGTCATTTTCTTGGACTTGTTGTCCTGCTGCTTGAACCATTTCTGTGTGTGAGTGTGTGTGTGTGTGTGTGTGTGTGTGTGTGTGTGTGTGTGTGTGTGTGTGTGTGTGTGTGTGTTTTCCTTTGGCGCACCGGTGTGATTTGCAGTTTATTGTTCCATCAATAGCGACGAGCTGTTCTGGTCTGGACGCACAGAAACAGGAACAGAACATCAAATCCTCAGGCTTCACCCAAGCTGAAATACACCATTTTAATAGAAATGCTCTTAAACTGTTTACTTTAACTTAATATACAATAATTTTTCTAACCTTTATTTAAATACATTCTAGATCATCAGGTTTCACGTTATTTCTGACATGAGCAGCAGAAAGCTGAGTATGGACGGTAGCAAGTAAAGAACAACACACACACACACACACACACACACACACACACACACACACACACACACACACACACACACACACACACACACACACACACACACACACACACAGAGCTCCATACTGTGAGTTTGTGTGAAATAGTTGCTGTCACATTCCACAAGATAAATCCTTAGGATTATAGATCGCCCATTGACCAGAGGAAGCACTAGTTCTGTTGCAGTGGTCACATACACACACAAACGCATGCACCACACGCATGCACACATGCACAAAAAAATGCATGTACGCACACACACACACACACACACACACACACACACACACACACACACACACACACACACACACACACACACACACACACACACACACACACACACACACACACACACACACACACACACACACACACAACAGTTACATGCTGCCACAGTCACAATGAGGATGTTTCTGTTTCACGTCAGCAACAAACACCAAACTTCCATTTCCAGATGGACACATAAACACACTCAGGTGGCAGTTCTTCCTCACTAGGTTCTAATTGGAGACTTGTGTCCAACTTCCACATAATGGTCTGGGGACACGCAGGGTCATTTGGTGCTCAGGGGCCTCCACACAGTCAGGGTCAATTAACTGAAAGACTTCTTAAATACAGCCACACACACAGGCATGCAGACACATTTCTGTTTCCATGAAGTCAGGAGACGTCAGTAAAGTGCCCCAACATAGGCTACACTAATAAACACACTGGCGTGTTCATGTGGACTAAAAATGCACCAGAAAAGGAAGTTTTAGGTGACATTGCCATAGTGTTTTCTAAATGTGCAACGAAAGCTAAACCAACAATTCTGAGAGTGAATGATTATTCTGCATCAATTCTGGGATTTGAAACAGTGAATGCTGCTTTGAATGCAAATTTTCTGAACAGAATTTGCTCAGAAGTCAGTTGCGAACATTTTGAGGTCACATTTGAGAACACTTGTCTATTGGACTTGGATAAAAACATGAGTTTGAGCAAAAAAAAAAAAATCAAAACCATGATAGATGCTAGGCATTTAATCCAGTAGGTTTCATTAGGTCAGCAGGAGAGTGTATTTAGTGTTAATTCACTGATTTTAAAACACTTATAAAACACAACTTAGAAGCAATATTTAGCTTTCAGAAACAAAAGCAGTCATCGATGAGCTCAGACTAGTTCCAGTTTGATCAGATGTAGAGCTAAAAGTCGTCTCCATGACATAACGATGTTTCTGCTGCGAGAGGCCCACAGGTCCAGGATGGATTGGAACAGCATGTTCACGCAGCAGCAGTGGCCACCAGTGTACCCATTATTGCTGTAATCATATGTTGAAAGTACATTGGGGTCCAGGGGTCAAAAATAGCTCACAGAGTTTTGATTGTAGGAGGCCCCAAAACAGAAGAAGCTAATCCATGTTACATAACATAGAAGAGATGGCCTCACTTTAGGACCTCTGTGCAAGTGTGTGTGTGTGTGTGTGTGTGTATTTTAGGATTTAGGATAGCATTAAAATTGGAATTTTAGCCTAAACTGATGATTACAGTTTGCCTGGCATGCCAGACTAAATACATTTATAATTTAGCTTTGCAAAGCAATACTTTTGTCTAGTTCTCTAGGCTAGATTTTAGTGGTATTTTAGGATTTTTTATTTCTTCTAGACAAACAGTTCTATTCCAGACTGTTACTGTGAATAATATACATATAAAACTTTAATTCATAACATATTAATAAATATCTTTTATAGGTAAAATAGAATCCGGTTCTATCCTTTAAATACATGTTTGCGACTTTCAAAAAGTATTATTTTTTTGTAAATAAGACATTCTAAAGACTGCCCAGTGTGAATGTGGGAACGGAGGTTTGTTTATGTGTGTAAGTTGTTCTGCAGGTTTTTCTAATTATCTAGTTGAGTAAAACAGCAAAGGAACAAAACACACACAAACCTAAATATGTGGTCAATTAATCTGTTTTCTTTTTTCTGTAATTGAACCGTTTTCTTCTTCAAGTCATGCAGCTAATTAAACTAAATAAGACATTGTGGGTTTTTTCTTGTCCATTATTATGCCAGTCTAAAATTAGGTGAACGTTTGTCTCATGAATAAGTTTTTTTTTGGATGAAGTCGTTTAAACTCTTTCAGGCTCAAAATACGTTTTGATAAAAGGACCAACAACTAAGTCCTTTGGGGAACTTCTGAGTTTAAAAAAATGCTCGTGAAATACGTATGTGGAGTTACCAGGTAGGTTTTAACGTTGAAAATCTGTAACGCCTGCTTCCAGAGGGTAAGTGCTTTTTTGAAGGCTGTATCAATTATTATAACTCCAACTTTATTTGACAGAGAAATTAATTAAAGTCAGAAAACTAAATGTAATCTCCGAGGCAAGTGTTTGTGCTTTGTCTGATTAAACTACTAATAATTACTTGAACTTTAATCAAAAATGAAGCAAAGTAAAACTTCTGTTTGAGCGAATTAAGGTTTACACTGACCTCGTGTGGTGGAGTGATGGCATAGCACAATGTCTCACCCTCACCTGCGTGGATGAATTAGGATTAATCTGTTTCCTCACTCAGTCTGGTTTGTGAGAGATGAATGTGGGATCTATTTAATTTGACAACAACAAAAGCCATGTGCCTTTATTTTTGTGTGGTTTTTTTTGTTCCATGAAATGACTATGCAGCATCTGTGCTGCCAAAATAAAAGCTTATTATCTTTAATTGTAGGCCTACCAACCGCCTGGCACTTCCTGATAAAGTGAGTAATTTACAGGTATCTGGAGGCCGTGAGCAGGTTTGTCCGCTCGCGCCGCCGCTGGAATGTGATCGTCTGTGAGGACGTGGCGCGGCGGAAAACTCCTCTTGTCAGAGCGCCTGTCCGCGCAGACTCACCGCTGCAGCGGTTCTGCCCTTCCACGTGGACCCTGTCATTCACCCAAACACGCAGCGGTCTCCATAGCAGCCGGGGAGTTGTGCGCGTGTGCGGCAGCCGTTGCGCACTGCGCAGTGCAGAGCGGTAGGGCGGCGCGCGCAGGGCGGTACGGGACAGAGCGGAGGTGTTCTCCAGAAATGAACCTTTAACCTGCTGAAAACTGCGCTTCTTCTCTGTCAACACGCAGACAGGTGAGTTTATTTTCCTCCCACAGCAAAACGCCACCCTTAAAACATCTGCGGGTTTGCTTAAATTACTTCTGTCCGTTCAAATGTTCATTCAGCGCGTTGCTACTGATGCTGATGTTTTAAAAACCTGCTTATTCGGCATTTTTGTTGCTATGTAGCTTAATTATTTAATCTTCAGGGCAGTAGTCGTGCTGCTAGCATCGCTATGCTGACTGTCCACAGGAGGAAGCTGCAGGGAGAGAGGTGGATGATTGCTTGCCTATGTGAGGCGTAATTACGTGCATTCTTCCACCGACAGGAGAGATAAAACAAGCTGAGATGTTTAACAGATTCTGTCATAACGAAGCATAAAGTCTGCCATCTCTGGGAATAAAGAGAGGCGCAGGACCGCAGCACAGTCTGCAAAGTCTATTTTTTTGGCCATCATCCCTTCACTTATAAATCATGTTATTTTTATTCACTTGTTACAGATGCATCGATTCTGGTTCTAAAGGCCGATGCTGATGATGGATTTTTGTACAGCTCTGTGACCTGCAGATACTGATTTAACTAATTCCAAATCCTCTCAAAACGCACAATTACCAGATCATATTCATTAGAGAACACGTTAGCTTGAAATGTGTGGTTATGAAAGCACAAACCTCCTCATAAAACAGCCAGTGCTTGCTTTGTTTGAAGTAGGCTCAGCAATAATGTTTTTATTCTATTGCTGCTTGTAAGTGGTGCATTCACAAGCTGAAAGAAAAACTAGATTGTAGATTGTTTTCTGCACTTTGTGCAATTTAGTCAAGCAATTGCATTTTTGTAATGTGCAATGTAAAATGTCAGTTTAAATTTATTGCGGTGTTACAAAGATATTTAAACAATCAAGTTATGAGCTGAAACTTTTAAGTGAATGAAAATAGATAAAAGTCACTGTTATTATAATTATGATATTGTGCTTCAGGTGTGCTCATGGAGTCTCACCTGGACCGGCTCGCCCCACTGGTCCTTTCTCTGTACCTGCTCATACACCTGTGCCTGGCAGCGCCAGGTCTACCTGGGACACAAAGGTAACAACGCTGCTCAGCTCATGTAGATATAAGTTCCTGAGTGAAAAATTCATGGTTTTTTTTCATTTTTTAACTGAATATTCACACGAAGACGTGAGAACAGAATCAGATCTCTGGTTGCTTCATGAGTAAAAACATGGCAAACGTGATTTATCAACACAAGTCACTGATGATATTTTAGAGCCGATCCTGTTTGGTAAATCAAAGCAAAAATCGTTTTTCTATTCATCTCGTCAGAGAAGACTCACTAGATTCCCATCCTCCACCTGGTGCACTTCCCAATCCCTTTGGAACCGGAGAAGAGGAGCGCAGGTGAGTGATGTCACTGATAATCTTTTCATTTCTGTCAGGAACCTCACAGCTCCATAAAATTAGATGTAGAACATTTTTGTTGCTCCAGGAAAGAAAGATAAAGCATTTTTTTACATTTTTATACCCTAACTCTAAAGTCATTGATAGAATATGTCAGATATATTCATTTTCAAATTGTTTTTTGATTGAACTTTAGTCAGTTTGTCCTAAAACCTTACGTTTTTTACTGTGTTGTGGTGGACAGCTGTTGTGATGTCATCATCATGTGGACTTTGGTTGCTCTGTTGTGCTAATGATATGGCCACCAATCACAGATAAGATTAAATGTACAATAACTCATAACGTTTCCTGTATTTGGATATTTATCAGGCATCTTTGTTAATTAAACTTATGTCATCAACTTCCTCAAAACTGTTTCAGTTTCTGTTTGTTTAGGAAATTTGAGACGGTGAGGCTGCAACAGTCGATAAGATTACTGGATGTGTGCACTGCTGTTTTACACCCTGCGCAAACGTTGCACCTCGTGTTATTTGCATGAAAAAAAAAATCCACATTTAAATTGTGAACTCCATTTCCTCTACTTGAGGCTGCAGCTCCTACAATCAGAGTAATCTCAGTTGTTGGGAGAACAGAGATTGGATGAATGTGTTTGTGCAACGTTCAGCTGTCCAAAATAATAAACAGCAACTGATGATCAGATAAGGAAGTTACAGCTTCTCATTGTGCGTTATGTTATGAATAAAGAAGGTTTTAAGATGTACACATGTACGGTTTAGTTCAGTTAAAGCTATCCTATTTAACCTATTAAAAATGAAAATCTTACACCATGTCAGATCAGATTTATTGTGAACTTTTTCTTTATGTATGTAGAAGTTAATGTTTCATATTACTTTGAAGAATAAACGTTTTCTAGAGCTGAGATCTGTGACTTTAGTTAACGTAACGCATCCAGGGTAGCAGAAAGACAGATATATGGATGAGTAACGGGATGTATGTCTAGAAATTCTTTGCTTGTTTTACTTCATAAATATCTCTATGTTGTTGTTGTTTTTTTGTGATCACAGATTGTTGCAGAGTTTCGTTCAGTCCAGTCTGAAGAACAGCCAAGACGGAGCTGAGATCAGGTCCTGGGAACAAGGTAGACCTCACCTCTAAATGTGTTAATTTGTTTAGCTTTTTGTTGCTTAGCTCTCCGTATTGGATCCATCAGATAAATATTATTTCTGTATCTGTTTCTACCTGGCAGTTTTTACATGTAAACATTAAATAATTGAGGTTTCACACTTGGCAAAGGAGCTAAATGCTATGGATAAGGATGAAACCAAAGATTAGGGAAACAAGATTACTTCTAAAAATATATATATAGAAATTTGAGTGAATACACTGCTGTCAGAATGCTATAGCTTTATTTAAGAAATGTAGAAAATGGTCACCTTTTTGCATTTATTTGCTTAAAGTTTCCTGACATTTTTGATGTATTAGTGTTTTCAGTGTGTGTGTGTGTTTGTGTATTAGTGCTTATAGTGTGTGTGTTTACAGTCTAAAGCTCAATCCCTCGTGTTCAACATTGAAACTCGTCTCCTCTGCTTTGTCTCAGAGGTGTTCTTCCTGTTCCGCCTTTACGACTATGATCGCAGCGGGTTTTTAGATGGCTTGGAGATGATGAAACTACTCTCTGACTATAACTCTCTTCATGCATCTGGAGCAGAAGCCAGTGAGATGGTGAGCAGGAGTGACTGGAGGTGTGTGTGTCTAATCTGATCTGATCTGGGTTTTTTCTGACTTCAGGTGGTGTCAATGGTGGACTTTTTACTACAAACTCAGGATCTAAACCATGATGGCCTGCTGGACCCGTCTGAGCTGCTCTCTCCCTCATCCTTCCACACACAGGTATTGATCACACACACACACACACACTACATCTGGACTCATTAGGCTGTATTTATATTTAGACTGTCTCAAATTTATGGGTTTTAAAGTAACGTTATTGAACCCTTCTCATATGTAGGGCTCAATCAGAACACTTCACCAGGAGCAGGAGGTGGTGGTGGAGAACCAAGTACCAAACACGGTTACTGAAGATCAGAACGTGGAAGCAGCAGAACACAGACAGCAGGAGGCTCACGATGAGGTTCAGCATCAGCAGGAAGTTGGTATGGGGGATGAGGAACCCATGAATCAAGTGGATCGTCAAAACGATTATGTCCCAGCAGAAGAACAGGAGCAGATCAATGATGTCCCCGTGCATCAGGGACAATCTGAGATATAAACAAACACTGGACCACTCTTGGTTTCTCTTCGTTTGGTGTCAGGACATGAACTCTGATCGTATTCCACACGAGTTTAAACATGCAGACGACTGAGGAAAATTTACATTTATTCAAACTAATCCTGCCACCATAATCTGATATTCTCTCCAGGAAAACAAGGATTCTCTCAGCTTTTTAAAGGGGCACAGGTTCAAAATGAAATGGGTTTTTGCTTTCTGTAATGAGACATCATTTTGCTTTTCCTACATTGGTTTAATTTATTTATCATTTCCTATCTCACCTTAAAATGTGTTTTATGTGGAGTTAGACCATGCAACTAGACTGTTAGATTTTAAATCAGGACATAATCTGAATAAGTACAGCCCACTTTATTTAATCCACCACATCACCCTAAATCAGGAAATGTTTTATGCAAATACAGGATTTATCTGTAATTTACACAACCAGTTCTGCCTAAAGAGCTGATTTAAACCTATAAAACACTGTAGGTGTGTCTAAAATAATTAAGCATTCCTGAAAAACATCTCTGTAACTGTGGTTTATTTGCAGATGGTATTTATTAAGACTCCTGTTTACATTTACACCCAGACTAAATATTTAAAATGTTAAATAAATGTGATCACTTACTCTAAAATGTGTTCACAGGATGACAATGTTTAATAATCGTGGAATTTTAATTAAAATTTTTACTGAGTAAGAATGGTTGCAGCTTAAAAATAAAGCAGACTTTATTGGATTTTATTGTCTCTTTTTAGTCTGAATATTATGCATTGTGTCCCTAGGTTCTTACCTCAACAACACTTCTAAATAACCTGTGTGTTCTTCCATGCATCAACACATTGTTGGTCTCTGGTCAGATTCAGGCTGACTGAATGAAATACGAGCTCAGTAAGAGGTCAAAGGTCAGTTTTCAAACCATTCCAACTGTGACCAACACAAGTGCCTGGCTATTCTTGGTTAAATTACATAAACACTGCTAACAGGATAATTAAAAGAATAATTTATTTCAGGGATCATCAGAAGACTCAGTTTTATGCTTTCACCACTTGTAGCATATTTCTACATACTAGAATCAACACGGTTTGCTATCAGTTGTTAGATTCTGAGAAAAGATCCAAAAGAGTTAACTGTCACAAACGTGCCGGTGAGCGAAGCGGAGATGAGGTGAGGATCCACACGCGGGTGAGGAAGGCAGGTAGACAGGTAGGAACGGTTTTACAATAGTTTTAATATCAAGCACGCAGGACATAAAAACAATGAGCCAACAAGAGACACAGAACTGAAGGGGTTTAAATACAAGAGGGCTGGGAGCTTGGGTGATTGGAAAACGAGAGGCAGGTGGGAGCAATTAACAGAGACACATGGCTGAACCAAATGGGGAGACAGGACAGGGTGTGGAAGGAGCCCCCCCCCCCCCCCCCCCCAAAAAAGGGCGGATTCCAGACGCCCATAGGAACATGGAGCTGGGTGGGAGGAGGGGGACCGGGAGGGAGGGCCAAGACGGACCGAGGGACCGATGGAGAGGAGGCAGGGACCAGTAGAGTCCAGGGGGCCTGTGTCTGGGGCAGAGGAGGAGGCAACGACGGGCTCTTGGGGGTCTGCGTCTGGGGCAGAGGAGGAGGCAACGACGGGCTCTTGGGGGCCTGCGTCTGCGGCAGAGGAGGAGGTGACGACGCGCCCTTGGGGGCCTGCGTCTGCGGCAGAGGAGGAGGCGACGACGGGCTCTTGGAGGCCTGCGTCTGTGGCAGAGGAGGAGACGATGACGGGCTCTTGGGAGCCTGCGTCTGTGGCAGAGGAGGAGGCGATGACGGGCTCTTGGGAGCCTGCGTCTGTGGCAGAGGAGGAGGCGACGACGGGCTCTTGGGAGCCTGCGTCTGTGGCAGAGGAGGAGGCGATGACGGGCTCTTGGGAGCCTGCGTCTGTGGCAGAGGAGGAGGCGACGACGGGCTCTTGGGAGCCTGCGTCTGGTGAGGGCAGGACTGGTGGTGACCGGAGGCAGAGACGCCGGAGGAGACGTCCTTGACTTCTGGACTGGAGGCGACGGCGACGACCTCTGGACTGGAGGCGACGGCGACAACCTCTGGACTGGAGGCGACGGCGACGACCTCTGGACTGGAGGCGACGGCGACGACCTCTGGACTGGAGGCGACGGCGACCTCTGGACTGGAAAGAGCGTCGACCTCTGGACTGGAAAGGGCGTCGACCTCTGGACTGGAAAGGGCGTCGACCTCTGGACTGGAAAGGGCGTCGACCTCTGGACTGGAAAGGGCATCGACCTCTGGACTGGAAAGGGCGTCGACCTCTGGACTGGAAAGGGCGTCCACCACAGGACTGGAAAGGGCGTCGACCACAGGACTGGAAAGGGCGTCGACCACAGGACTGGAAAGGGCGTCGACCACAGGACTGGAAAGGGCGTCAACTTCAGGACTGGGAGCGTCAACTTCAGGACTGGGGGCGTCAACTTCAGGACTGGGGGCGTCAACTTCAGGACTGGGGGCGTCGACCTCCATCGACTTCTGGTCCGGGGGTGTCGACTTCTGGACCGTCGACTTCTGGTCCAGGGGCATCGACTTCTGGTCCGGAGGCGTCGGCTCCTGGACCGTCGGCTTCTGGACCGTCGACTTCTGGTCCGGGGGCATCGACTTCTGGTTCGGGGGCGTCGACTTCTAGACCGTCGGCTTCTGGACCGTCGACTTCTGGTCCGGGGGCGACAACTTCTGTTCTGGGGCTGTCGACTTCTGGTCCAAGGGTGTCAGCTTCTGGACCGTCGACTTCTGGTCCGGGGTCGTTGGCTTCTGGACCGTCGGCTTCTGGACTGTCGACTTCTAGTCCGGGGGCGTCGACTTCTAGTCCGGGGGCGTCGACTTCTGGTTCGGGGGCGTCGGCTTCTGGTCCGGGGGCGTAGACTTCTGGTCCGGGGGCGTAGAATTCTGGTCTGGGGGCCGTCGGCTTCTGGAGCGTCGACTTCTGGTTCGGGGGCCGTCGGCTTCTGGTCCGGGGGCCGTCGGCTTCTGGTCCGGGGGCCGCCGGCTTCTGGACCGCCGGCTTCTGGACCGTCGGCTTCTGGACCGTCGGCTTCTGGAGTGGAGGAGGAGTTGCTGCAGACGGGACCGCTTGGACAGGCTGGACCGGATGCAGTGTGACCTCCGGGACCACCGCTGGAACTGGATGCGGTGCGACCTCTGGGACCACCACGGGAACTGGCTGTGATGCATCCACCGGGACCACCGCTGGAACAGGATGTGGTGCGACCTCCGGGACCACCGCTGGAACAGGATGCGGTGCGACTTCCGAGACCACCGCTGGAACTGGATGCGGTGCGACCTCCAGGACAACCACTGGGACAGGAGCTGACTGAACTGGTGGTGCCGGAAACTGGGAGAGCAGGGAGGATAGATTGTCCAGCTGGAGCTCCTGGAGACTGAGGCTCTGATGGAGTTGGGCCAGCTCAGCTCGGAGACCGGCGAGCTCTGCTGGGTAGACTGCGGGTTCGATCCTTTGACCAAGAGATGAGGGAGCTGCAGACTGGACCGGAACCTTCTCCTGGTAATTCGGGGAGAATAGGGTGTCTAGCTGGAACTCCTGGAGGCTGACGAGCTGACGGATCCGGCCAAGCTCCGCCTGGAGGCCGGCGAGCTCTGTCAGCTGGGCTGTAGGCAAGTTCCCTCCGCCTGCAGATGACGGAGGCGCTGATTGGACCGGAGACGGGACTACTGGTCTGACTGGGGGCGGGTCCAAGCTGGCGCGCCGAGCCGGAGCTGCAACGAGCTCGCGGCTCCGTCCCGGCACCAGGGGTGACGGTGGAGCCCGGCATCCTTCCCAATGCCGTGGGCCAGCTCCGGGGGAGCACACAACCAGTCTGGTGCCCACGTAGCAGGAGCCGTCTAGCTGCGTCTCCTGGTCCAACCTCACATCTAGCTCCGGGAGGGCGGAGGGGATCGTCGCAGCTGGGGTTCGGCGACGGCCCCCGAGACGAGACCAGAGGAGGAGAAGCCGGCCGGTGATCTGCGGTTAAAAACTGGAGCAAACACTCCCAAGGAAGAACCTCCCCGCTGGATCCTTTACTGGGTTGGATCATTCTGTCACAAATGTGCCGGTGAGCGAAGCGGAGATGAGGTGAGGATCCACACGCGGGTGAGGAAGGCAGGCAGACAGGTAGGAACGGTTTTACAATAGTTTTACAGTTTTTCTCGATTGGTTTGGCTCATTTCCTGAAACCGAGATGACATTCACAAAATAATATGGACAAATCTCCAAACCACCTTGCAATTGTTCACAACAGAATGTCAGTTTTCATTGGTTTTGTAACGTGAGGAAATATGGGTTTTTCTGTCACAAAGATGGTGCTGGACTCAGCTGTGTCAAAGCTGGGTCATTGAGAACTTTCACCCACAGATTAAGACCTGAACGCCAGCGAGTCTGGGAGGAAACCATAACATCAGCCACCTGCAGTCTACCAGAAGATGTGTTTACATGAGTTGTACCCAGACCAAGTCAAAACATAAAGTTTAAACTTCTGTTTCTTGATTTTAATGTTAAAGTAACCATTATCATTTTGCTCATTATAAATGTGTTTTAATCAAATGAATGACTATTATGCTTTGGGGTAATTATAATGGATTAATGAATCCATTCTTAAATAATGTTGAGAATGTGTGGTACTGACCTTCACACACACCCACACACATCTTCCCACAGTAAACTCCAGACATTTGATGACGCACATGTTTGCTTTGAGAAGAGAAAGGTTTTTGGTAAGTTTCAGTCTTATGATTCCAGTTCGTGCTTGACTACGAAAGAGAGAGGACGTGTGAACAACCGCTAACGGGGAACGGAGCCCATGGGCTCAAACCCCCCCCCCCCCCCCCCCCCTCTATCACGCTGTTTCTGCCAAGCCAGGCAGAATAGCTGAATCGCAACTTCTAACGCAGACTCATTACCGATTCTTTTGATTTCTGAGTGAATTAACTTAAGAAAGCGCGTCGACAAAACGCTTTACCATCAACGTGTACCGAGGGCAACTCTGGACCGGTTCCGTTCGACACCTACGTCTCCTGTCAGCCGCCGGTGTCATCTGGATGAATCACAACATCCTCCACGGCCCGGATCCGAAAGAGGGTCCACAAGAATTCGGTGAGACAGAACACGGTGTTTAGCGTTTGGATGCATCTTTTCCAACTAAACCTAAGTTTATTCAAACCATCACTTTTCACTCAGACACCTGTTTCTTCCTGAAGCAAAATCAGATGCACACACGCATCCATAATCGCATCATATCACTCTCACCACTCACAACATTCTCAATCTTCATAAATTCACCAGAAGGTCTATTTGAGCAAGAACAGCATATAAACTGTTAAAAGATTGTCCCACAAAGTTGCCAATGTGATTGTTATTTCCTGTTCGTCAATTTTCAAAATCATTAGTTTAATTTGAAGAATTAAAACTTTTAATCCTTCAAACTGGTTTCCTCATTGAACTGAAACACAGACCCTCAGATATTATCGGCAGTTTATCGATGAAAACAACCTTTGAGTCTTCTGAACAATATAAAATTTGGTTATTGATTTATTAAAAATTAATATTCCGAATCAATACGTAGCATGGTTCCTCTTTCATAAAAGAGCATAAAACCACAACGCTACAGTTTAATCAAATTGCAAATGCTTTAGTACATGTCTCAAGTGACTCTGTGCTTCTTTTCAAATGATTATGTACAAGTAGCTACAGTTAGCA